TCCGACTCCACGCTGTGCCCCTTTGCATGCGCGTTGGCCAGGATGCGGCGGCAACGCACGCATGCATCCTCGTCCTCCTGATCCTCACCGCGCCTTGCAAGGGCGCGCGCACGTTCATCACTGCCCTGTTTTGGGTCATCGTCGGTCTTCTGGTATAAACGTGGCGCAGGCATACTCTTGGGTCGAGGGTTCATGACGGTCCTCCCCGGAACATCGGCTCGGACCTCTACCGAATGCCTCTGGGCAGGCACCGACTGGGGAGCGCGGCGCCATGGGGCGCGGCCACGACGCTCTTCGGCACTGCCTGCCACGCCAACCCAGTGGATGACCGGCCCATGCACCTGCCTTGGAAACGGCGGCTTCGCAGAGCTCCGCTGGTTGGGCGACGATGGCGGGCCACTCTGGGCCCGGTCTTGTTGCACGGCTCGCGCTCGCCACTCTTCACCTTGGGGCGCTCCGGGTCGCCACGCCAGCGGCCGGACTGATCGCAGTCAGCACACCGGCTGTTGGCTTTGCGCTGGTCAGTCGTCCTGCGACCCGCCTGGAAAGAGCCGCTGGCATTGATCTTCTTGGGGCCCCGCTGCCGAGGGGCAACGAATCCGCCCTTCTGACGCTGCACTGCCGTCTTCTGCTTGGCCCTCCAACCGGCCAAGAACGCCTCCTGAAGATCCCCCGGTGCCTCGTAATCCTCGTCGTCAGGCCCGTCGTTGTCCGACGCCAGCTCCTCGTCGACCTCGGCGCCGTCCTCGAAGAGGATGCCCTCGCCCCATCCGGGGTCTCCGTCGTCCTGGTCGTCTGCTTCCTCCTCGTCGTGCTGCGCCTCCTCCAGGTCGCCGTCGTGTTCGTCGTAGTCGTCACCGTTCTCCACCTCGTGCACGTGCTGGCCTCGGCGGCCTCGAGGTGCGAATGGCCTGCGAGCCAGAGGAGGATGCGGGAAGCGACCGCCCGAGCTCCCAGAGGAGCGCCCGTGCTCACGCTGCGCCGCCACAAACGGCGAGCGGCGAGGGAGCACCGAGCGCTTCTCGGCGTCGTGCACCTTCGAGTAGGCTGCCTTCAGCACGACCTCCATGCGCTTCGAGTCGTAGATGCCGCCGCAGTTGAAGAGCACCTGCGCTCGCTCTCTTTGCGACAGCCCAGCACCACGGAGCATCTTGCTCGCCAACGCGCGATCACTGATCGCTGAAGTGGGATCCTCGAGCTGCAACTCCATGCGCTTCTTCCGCAAGTACGTCGCCCAGTCCATGATGGGCTGGCCTGCCCGACGGTGAGCACGCTCCCACTCCTGATGCACCTGATCCAGGCGCTCGTGATCCATCTTCTCGAAGGCGTCATCGCACATAGCAAAGATGGTCTCGAGCGTGTCCTTGCGTCGGAGGTCCGACGCGTCAAGTACCTCGATGAGCTCCTTGGCCCGACCTGCCACCTGACTGTAGATGATCAGGCCCAGCTCCACGTCGGAGAGCTGGTTGAGGTTGCGGATGACCTCCACAGCCTTGCGCCATTCTCGGTACTTCTTGGTGCTAGTGCCGACGGCACCGTCGATTTCCGGGAGCTTCACCTGTGACAGCAGTAGGCGTGCACGCCTGGGACCGCTGTCGCCACCACGACCCCGCAGCATGGCCAGGATCTCCCTCTGGGTCTCGGCCATCACGCGCAGGACCGCGTGCAGGTCCGGAGAACCTGCGCCGGCGGAGGACACCGCCTCCGCGTCCGAGCCGCCGTCCTGGCTGCCGGCCATGGCGGCGCGCGCGGGTGGTCGCAGCCACCCGAGCAGAGCACGCAGTGCGTCCGCTGGAGCATACAAGCTCCGCTACCAATGTCAGTGCAGTTTTTTTGCTCGGACCGCGCGGCGGTCAAACTGCGGGTGCAGTCCCAGGGCCCTAGGACTAGGGCCAAAACGGCGGCGGGCAACATGCACGCCACAAAACATGAAAAGTATGTGCATCATGCTCACAAGGCGGCACGGGCGGCAGAGGGGCAGGGGAGTGCACTCTTCACATCAGTATCAGTATCAGTATCAGTATCAGTATCAGTATCAGTATCACATTGGTATTAATTTTAGTATCAGTATCAGTACCGGTATTAAAATAGCATTGGTAGCGGTATTCGTATTAGTATTAGTATTAGTATTAGTACTAGTATTAGTATTAGTATTAGTATTAGTATTAGTATTAGTATTAGTATAGTATTAGTATTAGTATTAGTATGAGTATTAGTATGAGTATGAGTATTAGTATTAGTATTAATATTCGTATTAGTATTAGTATTAGTATTAATATTAGTATTAGTATTAGTATTAGTATTAGTATTAGTATTAGTATTAGTATTAGTATTAGTATTAGTATTAGTATAGTATTAGTATTAGTATTAGTATTAGTATTAGTATTAGTATTAGTATTAGTATTAGTATTAGTATTAGTATTAGTATTAGTATTAGTATTAGTATTAGTATTAGTATTAGTATTAGTATTAGTATTAGTATTAGTATCAGTATTAGTCTTAGTATTAGTATTAGTATGCGTATGAGTATTAGTATTAGTATTAGTATGAGTATTAGTATGAATACTAGTATTAGTATGAGTACTAGTATTAGTATTAGTATTAGTATTAGTACTAGTATTAGTATTAGTATTAATATTAGTATTGGTCTTAGTACCAGAACTAACAGTAGTGTTAGTAAAAGTAGTAGTATTCGTATTGGTGTTAGTATTAGCATTTGCATTCGTATGCGTATTCGTGGTAGCATGAATGGTAGTAGGTGTATGCGTATTAGTATTAATATTAGTATCGCATGATTAATAATACGATTAGTAAGAGTATTAGTAGTAGTCGTAGTATCCGTCAGGATACTATTAGTACTACTGTTCGTATTAGTCTGTCTTACTATTACTACTATTACTATTGTACTATTGTTATTAGTGTTCGTCGTATGTGTCGTCTGATTAGTCGTCTTCGACTTCGTCTTCTTCTGATTCTTAGTATTAGATTTATTATAATCCGTCCAATTCATAATAATAGTATTACTCTTCTTCTCCCCCGTCATCATTAGCATAATCCTCATCAGCATCGTCAGCAGCAGCGTCATCACCGTCATCATCATCAGCATCATCATCAGCAGCAGCACCATCAGCATCATCATCAGCATCAGCATCAGCAGCATCATCATCAGTCACATCAGCATCAGCATCAGCATCAGCAACAGCATCACCATCATCGTCCGCATCCTCATCAGCATCAATATCATCATCAACAGCATCGTCATCATCATCAGCATCACCATCCTCATCATGATCAGCGGCAGCATCATCCTCAACATCATCGTCAGCAGCATCATCATTGTCATAATCAGCAACATCATCATAATCGTCTTCATCACCAGCATCAGTATCATCATCCTCGTCGTTTTCGTCGACGTCGCCGTTATACTCAACATCACCATCACCATCATCGTCATCATCATGATCCTCAGCGTCGTCAGCAGCAGCACCTTCCATCATCGGCATCATCATCACCGTCATCAGCATCACCATCACCACCGTCACCATCACCATCACCATGACCATCACCATCACCATCCCTCATCCTCCGTCCATCCCTCCTGGTGCGTCCTCCTCGCCGTGGTTCAGTTTCTCTCCCTCCCCTCCGCCCCCCTCATCCTACGACAGTTGTTTGCCCTATAGGGGGTTCCCTTCCACTTCTCTTCCTCCCTTCTACTCCTCCTACTCGCAACGACAACCTGATCCCTATCCTCCCTCATACTCCTCCCCCTCCCCACTCCACCCTCCTCGCTCATGTTTGAGTCTTCCTCCTCCTCCACCTCCGCCACCGATTCCGCCTCCTCCTCCTCCTCCTCCTCCCCCTCCTCCTCCTCCTCCTCATCCTCATCATCATGCTCCCCTCCCCCTCCCCCTCCCCGTCCTCCTCCTCCTCCTCCTCCTCCTCTTCCTCCTCCTCCTCCGCCTCCTCCTCATTATTATGCTTCTCCTCCTCCTCCTCATCCTCCTCCTTATCCTCATCCTCATCCCCATCATCATCATCCTCATCATCCTCACCATCACCATCATCGTCATCTTCATCATCAGCAGCGTCATCATCATCATCATCAGCAGCAGCATCAGCATCAGCATCAGAATCATCATCATCAGCATCTTCATCATCATCATCATCATCGTCATCAGCATCATCAGCATCATCAGCATGTGTATCATCATCAGCAGCATCAGCAGCAGCAGGATCAGTATCATCAGCATCAGCATCATAATAAGCATCAGCATTATCATCATCAACAGCAGCAACATCATCAGCATCATCGTCATCGTCGGCACCATCCTCAGCGTCATCATCAGCATCGTCATCATCATCACCACCATCATCATCGTCGTCATCAACATCATCATCATCATCATCAGCATCATCATCAGCATCATCATCAGCATCATCATCAGGATCAGCATCATCAGCAACAGCATCAGCAGCATCATCAGCAGCAGCATCATCAGCATCAGTATCATCGTCACCATCATCACCATCATCACCAGCATCATCATCGTCGTCATCGTCATCGTCATCGTCATCGTCCTCATCATCACCATCATAATCCTCCTCATCATCATCATCATCAGCATCATCATCAGTATACTCACCACCACCATTACCAGGGCCATGACAACCACCATCACCAGCATCACCGACTAATTCATCCATCGTCCACCACCCACCCACCATCATACATCTCTAACATCAACCATCCGTCATACATCATCAGCTATCCACCACAAATCACCCATGACCCATCAAGCATCACCCATCACCCGCCACGCATCACCCAACATCGATCATCAATCATCCATCATCTATCATCTGCCCCGTCCGCATACCTCCTCCGCCTCCTCCTCCTCCTCCTCCTCTTCCCTCCTCCTCCTCCTCCTCAACCTCATCCTGTACTTTTCAAGGGATGGAAGGAGGAGGAAGGAGATGATGTATTGATCGGTGCCCCGGACCTTCGGTGCCGCCGCCGTCATCAGCAACAGCTTTGGACTGCTGAACTTGACGATGTCGCCCTGCCTCAGCACGTCCTCGTCGCTGCTTCCCTCGTAACAAATTTTGACGGCGCCCAGGAGCACGTACAGGATACCCCTACCAACGCGGAGCGGCACTGGGTGAGGCGTTTGGCCCGCAAGTGGCATGGGGAGATTAAAATATTGACTCCGCATGGCTGGCGTTGAGAGGCCACGGAAAGTCTGAGGAAAGCTGGTGCCGCTGTCCAAGGGCGGCATCTTCAGGATTTTACCCTCGCCGAGTTTGTGCAGTCTGGCTCCGGGGCGATGAGTCAGGTTCCTGGCAATGGCCTTCACATTGGGCAGCTGGGAACCTTCAGAATCGGAGAGGAGGAGGAGGGAGGAATGATCGAAAAAGGAAGGAGTGAGGAGGAAGAACGAGGAGGAAGGAGGAGGAGGAAACCTTCGGTCCGCTCGTAGATCACCCGCTCGTTCCTCCATGCTTGTACAGGTTCGATTCGCACACGCTTCGGCCTGCCGTTATCAGGGGCAGATCTCAGACGTGCAGCGACGAGGTCACTCAGGCCGAGGTGCTTTAGCTCCCTCGCAGTGGCCTTGGACGGGGAGACCATCAGCAGTTTCGTATCACCCTGGAGGCCTCCAGTCGTAGCCTCGGATACAGCCCCGACGGTACCACCAACCTGGATGACGGAGATGGGCACCTCACTGATTGCCAGCGCACGATCAGGAGACAGGACTGTCCATATCTGGGGCTTGCGCCTTGTCAGCGAGGGAGCTGCTGCAACGCCACGCTCCACCTGCTTGCCCTGATCCTTCCTGCCACCCCTCTTCTTCTTCCTCATCTGCATCTTTCTCAAGAATGACAAGCTTGCCGCAGGCACCGGCTGCCGATTCTTGGCGGCCCGATCCGGCTGCTTCCTTGAGGGGCAACGATCGGGGGGTGAGCTGACTCAGGGGGCGAAACATCGACCTGGAATCGGCGGCACACCGCCGATAGGCCGCCCATAGGCAAGCCACACGCTGGTGGGCGATCGGGCCCCTATCGGCGATGAGTGGACGATTGGGGGCCGATGTCCCCCCCTGAGCCTATCTGGAAAACGATGACCATGACCAAGACTTCAAGCGGAATCGTCGCTGTCGATCTTAGTCACCGTCCTCCATCCTGGTCATCGCCGAGCGGCGGATCAGCCTCGCACATCGGCGACAACCGGGCATGGACCATGACCAAAATCGGCGTCGACAAGATCCCGCGACAGCCTTCGGCGGCGAGCGAGGGGGGGAAGTGAAAAGGAGGAGGCCTTCTCAGAACTTCTGAGAAGTTCTTCGTGCCTTCGGGCAAGGCTTGGACAACTCCTCACAAGGCCGGGGGGGGGTCCAAGCCTTCCGACAAGGCCCGCCCCTTCTCACTTCCCCCTCGGGCGAGCCGCCGAGTTTGGCTTTCGGGTCATTACTCGTCCCTCCAGCGGTCGTTGAGGAAGATCGGGGCATCCCTGGAACGCCCTCTGCAAGGCGCTGCTGCCAGAAAGCATCCCCAGGCTGGAAGGCCGCCGAGAACCGACGAAAACGCCCGAAGACCTCGATCGAACCCCGAAAACCTCGAAAAGCTCAAGCCCCCCGGGCTCGCAGAGGAAGCCTGGCCGTGGCCATCGTGCTTCTTTCCGCGGCTCCTGTGCACCACGGGCCTCACGACCCGAGGACGCCGAGCCTGCGGCCTCCGCTCCTCGACCGGCTCCGCGCGGGGCGGCGGCGCGGAGGGGTCCAGCACGCTCGGCGGAGCGGGCGCGGGCGCGGCTGGCTTCGTGGCCGGCTGCGGCTGCTTCCGCAGGATCTTCAGCCTCGCGGCCGGGGGGACCTCGTGGAGGAGGAGGGAGGAGGAGGAGGAGGAGGGGGAGTGGGAGGGGGAGGAGGAGGGGGAGGAGGAGGAGGAGGAGGAGGAGGAGGAGGAGGAGGAGGAGGAGGAGAAGGAGGCGGAGGAGGATTGCAGTACCACGAAGGCGGGTGATAGAGGGACAGTTTAGTGAATCGGGCGGGAAGAGTGGAGGGCGGTACTTGTCACCTGTGTGTGTGTGTGCGCGGCACCTAATCAACTCTCGCAGAACTGGGAAGGGCGCTGGGTGTGCGCGGCACCTAAACAACCCTCGCAGTACCCGTTTTTGTTCCCTCCTCCTCCTCCTCCTCCTCCTTCTCCTCCTCCTTGTAGTTCAATGCCTCGCTGCGGCCTTCGTGCTTAGGTGCTGTCGGGAAAGAGGAGGAGGAGGAGGACAAGCTAGGTGCGCTCGAGTCATATCTGACGTTCTACCCCTCCCTCCCATCCCTTACCATGACGTAGATCTCCTCTTTGTTCGCACAAGCTGATGTCGTAGCATTGCATAGTATTACATGGCATAGCATGGTGTTGAAGATCAACGCGTAGCATGACATATCATGGCGTGGCGAAGCCCCAAAGCGGGTGGGTGGGGCTTCCGCGGCCCAAAAAAATCAACGAATCGACACCGGATGTGTAAAAACGTCCGATGGTTTCTTCGGGAGGGCATGTTGTAGATTTTGGGACCTATGTGGAAGGACCGAAAAACATGCCGTGGCATGGCATTGGAAATAATGACGCCAACGCTGCAGCGGGAGCACGGTTCGGAACGAGCGGAAGCGCGGAAATTAGGCCAGCGCTGCAGCGGGAGCACGATTCAGAACCAGCGGTAGCCTGAAAATGAGGCCAGCGCTGCAGCGAGAGCATCATTTTGACAAACAAACCCAAGCGCGGAAGCGCGGAAATGAGGACGCGTAGCCTGACATAGCATGGCGTGGCGACGCCCCAAAGTCGGGGGGGACACCGAATGTGGAATCTTTTCCGATGTTTTTTTTCCGCGGGGGGCATGTTCTAGATTTTGGGGCCTATGTGGAAGGACCGAACACCACGCTGTGGCATGGCGCTGGAAATGATGACGCCAACGCTGCAGCGGGAGCACGATTCGGAACAAGCGCAAGCGCGGAAATGGGGCCAGCGCTGCAGCGGGAGCACGATTCGGAACGAATGGTAGCCCGAACATGAGGCCAGCGCTTCAGCGAGAGCCGCATCTTGAACCCCCCAAAAAAAAGCGTGAAGCACGGAAATAAAGACGCGTAGCATGACATATCATGGCGTGGCGACGCCCCGAAGCGGGTGGGGCTTCCGCGGTCCAAAAAATCAACGAATCAACACCGAATTTGTAAAAACTTCCGATGTTTTCTTCGGGGCGGCATGTTTTAGATGTTTGGGCCTACTTGGAGGGACCGAAAACTACGCCGTGGCATGGCGCTGGAAATAATGACGCCAGCGCCGCAGCGGGAGCACGATTCGGAACGAGCGGTAACCAGAACTTGAGGACAGTAGTATTCAGATTGTGCAATCGGCGCGTGTTCCAGACACTTCTTTTGGACGCTAACCGGAGGAGAAAGAGGGGGAGGAGGAGGTAACAGGAGGAGGAGGAGGAGGAGGAGGAGGAGGAGGAGGAGGAGGAGGAGGAGGAGGAGGGGGAGGGGGAGGGGGAGGGAGAGGAGGAGGAGCAAGAGGAGGAGGAGGAGCGGCACGCCCAGGAGGTGACCAGCGTCGATCCCACCCGGCAAGCCCAAGGGCGACGACAGTCGTAGAGGCCCTCAAGATCGACATCGAAATCAGGCGATGCCAACAATAGACAGAACGCGTTTCACGGGCGCATACTTTGGGAACATTCGGCGGCGCATTTCGACCCGGGGGGTGGGCCCCCCCCCAAACACTCGGCACCGTCGCTCAAAACCAGGCGGACTCCCCTCCCCCCCAAACACCCCCCTTCCCGAACGCCCCCCCCCCCCTCCCAAGCGGGGGGGGACCAAAACCCCCCACCCCCACGGGCGCCGGCGCTGGCGGTGGCGGCCGCCAGCAACGCCGACGGCGGGGACGCAGCAACGATGACCAGAAGCAGCCCAACGGGGGGTGGGTTCAAACCCCCCCCTGGCGCCGAGGGGGAGGGTTTCAAACCCCCCCCCCTGGCGCCGGCGCCGGCGTTGGCGCCGGCGACGACGGGGACGCAGCGACGATAACCACCACTACCACCACCGCCACCACTACCACCACCACCACCGCCTCAACCCACCACCACCACCACCACCACCAACCCACCACACAACCACCACCACCGCCACAGCCACCACCACCACAGCCACCACCACCACCACAACCACCACCACAACTCACCAGCACCACCAACACCACAACCACAAAACCAACCCCACTACCACCACCACCACCACCACCACCACCACAATTTACCACACCACCACCACCACCGCCACAACCACCACCACTAATAGCAGCACAACCCACCGCCACCACCACAAACCACCACACCATCACCACCACCACCACCGCCACCAGCACCACCACCAGCACCACGTCACAAACCACCGCCACCACCACAACCCACCACCACCACCACCACAAACCACACCACCACACCACACCACACACCCACCACCACAACACACACACCACCACCACCACCACAAAAACCCACCACACTACACCACCACCACCACTACCACACACCACCGCCACCACCACAACACCACCACCACTACTATCAGCACAACCCACCGCCCACCACAAACCACCACAACACCACCACCACCACCACCACCGCCACCACCACCACCACCTCCACAGACCACCGCCACCACCACAACCCACCACCACCACCACCACGCCACCACCAAACCACCACCACCACCACCGCCATCACAATCCACCATCACCACCAACACCAACACCACGAAGCACCACCACACCACCACCAAACCACCACCACCATCACAACCCATCACCATAACCGCCACCACCACCACCACCACAACAAACCACCACACCACCACCACCATCACCACAACCACCACCACCGCCAGCACCACCACCACAACCCATCACAACCACCACCACAATCGTCCTCGCCGACGCTCCCCGCCGCCGCCGCCCGCCGCCGCAGGCGCCGGCGCCGGCCCAGAAAAGGAACTCGTCGTCCCCGCCGCCGCCGCCAGCCGCCGCCGACGCAAGCGCCTGCCCGAGAAGAGGGGGGGGCGAGGGTTCGAAACCCCCCCCGGGGGGTTCGAACCCCCCCCCTCCATCCAGGGGGGGGGGGGTCCGGTTTCAAACCCCCACCCCTCCAAGCGACCACAGAACGCGCTCTGTCCATCAGTAGGGATAGGGGTACGTTCCAGGCTGGCAAGGTGGGGGGAGGGCAGAGCGGGCGGGCCGTGGCAGAAGGCTCCCAGGGCCGAAGGGCCTCCAAGATGCCTCCGAGGGGCCTCCGAGGAAGCTCCGAGGGCCGAAGGGCCTCCCGAGAAGGCTCCGAGGGCCAGAGGGCCTCGGAGAGGCCCTTCGCGGCCCTCTGCGAGGGTCCGCCCCCCGCCCGCTTCCTCAGGAGAGGCTGAGTCCATAAAGGCCTCCTCGATGGGGTCGGTGTAGATGGAGTCGGAGGATCGCGCCGCATCGCCGATACATCGGCGACTCATCGGCGATGCATCGGCGATGCACCGGCGATGCATCGGCGACGTCAGCGATGCACCCGCGACGTCGGCATGGGGAAACGCGGGCTCCACGTCGAGCCGCATCGCCGATGCATCGGCGATGCCCATCTGGGAGGCCTAGAGAAGTGCAGACGGATCAAGTCCACACGAAGACCGAGCACTCCGTATGGACTCACTCCGTACGGATTTGACTTCCTGTCAAGACAGGCCAAGTCCACGAGCACTCCGCATGGACTTGGCCTCCGCCGACGTCCACCCTCGGCGCGCCGCCGCCCCCTGCACGGCCGTGCGGCGCCCGCGCCCAGAGCTTCTACAGTCGGGCGTTGCTCGCGGGGGGGGGTCCACAAATCGGTGGCGCGCGAGGGGGGGGGAAAATGAGGGGAAGGCCTTCGAAGAGGGCCGCGGGACTTCTCAGAAGCCCTCGCGCCTTCTGAAAAGTTTTCTGAGTCTGCGGGGAAGGCTTAGGCAGCTTCTCAGCAGGCCGGGAGGGGCTCCCGAGCCTTCTGGGAAGGCCCGCCCCTTCTCACTTCCCCCCTTGCTCGCCGCCGAATGAAAACTGGCTGAGCCCAGAACGACAAGAAAGCTTCCAGTCGTCGCCAGTTCTCACTCCTTCTGCGGGCCGGCGGCGGGTCGGCGGCATGGCACGGGCCACTTCATATTAACTGGGGGGCGGGGAAACGTGCGCCTGTCGTGCAACCTCGAAGCCCAGGGAGGCCTCATGTAGGACCAGATTTGGAGACTCGTCTCCTGCAACCCTCGACATCCCCCCCCACGTAGCGCCCCCCCCCACCCTACGAAACGCCCGAGCGGTGGACGCGCACGCATTTCCGCCCTCGGGAACCTGCAGATCCCGCGTGCACTGCAAACCCCGAAGTCAGGTGGCACGACCCCGAAGCGATCGAAACTCAGGCCGTCTACCTCCGCACTCCGCGCAGCACGAAGCGCGAAGCGCGGCCATCGTCGGCAACATCGCGCGGTCCCCATGGAAAAAGGCAACCCTCCAGCCTGGACTGCGAAGCGCGAAGCGCGGTTGCTGCGGGTGGCCCAAAGGCGGCCTCGCCCAAAACTCGCTCAATTTCTAATCCTATAATTATTGAACCCTAATTATTGTAAAACCGGTCATTATGCAAACCGGCTCCATCTACTGCAAAAAATAGAATTTCCTGAGCATGCGTGCAGAATCTCCTGTATGTTACACTACAAAGTGCCCGGTCCCCGTTGCGTTCCGCCCTCATCTATTGTAAAAAATAGCATTTGCTGAGCATGCGTGCAGAATCTCTTGTATTTTACACTACAAAGTGCCCGGCCCCCGTTGCTACCCGGTTATGCAAACCCGCTCCATCTTTTGCAAAAACTACAATTTGCTGATCCTGAGCATGCTCCATCCTGAACATGCGTGCAGAATCTCTTGTATTTTAAAATACAAAATGCGACCCCCTTATGTACACCGGCTCCATCTCCTGCACAACCTCGCGCTTCCTGCGCATGCGTGCAGAATTCTTAGCCCGTTAGAGCACTCGCGTGCCAACTGGATCGCACATCCGTCGTCGCCGTCGTCGTCGTCGTCGACGTTGCACTCGCTGTGGTTATACCGAGGGGAGAGATGATCTTTATGGTGGGGTGGCTTGCGGGTGGGACTGACGGCCACCGCAGGTGGGTTCGAGGTCAAGGTGTACTCGTGGCCGCGCCTAGTAGACCCTAAACCCTAAACCCTAAATCCCACCAGCCCTCTGGGCGTCGGTGTTTTAGGGCGTTTCCCTTTCCACCCCTCTTCTTCCCCTTCGGGGAAGGGTTTACCCCTCCCCCGACCCCCTCCCCATGGACCTGGAGAGGGGGGCCGCGAGGTGTCAGAGCGTCCAAAACGGCCTCGGCGAGGAAGCCAAAATCATTGATTTTACCAGGGTTTCGGCCCTATTTTGGCCTCCTGGGGGGGCGAGGCTAATTAATGCTCCGCACTTCTTTGATGGATCTCCTCCAAGATGGCCCCAAGAAGCGCCCAGGAGGCCCCAAGAGGTCCCAAGATGGCCCCAAGATGGCCCCAAGAGGCCCCCAAGAGGCCCCCAGGAGGCCCCCAAGAGACTCCCAAGAGGCCCCAAGAGACCCCCCAGAGGCACCCAAGATGCTCCAAGAGGCCTCGGCGAGAATGCCGAAACGGCCTCGGCGAGGAAGCACAAATCACTGGATTTACTAGGGTTTCGGCCCCATTTTGGCCTCCTGGGGGGGGACGCTAATTAATGCTCCCCTCTTGTTTGATCGATCTCCTTCAAGATGGTCCCAAGAAGCGCCAAGGAGGTCCCAAGAGGTCCCAGGATGGCCCCAAGATGGCCCCAAGAGGCCCCCAAGAGGCCCCCAGGAGGCCGCAAGAGACCCCCAAGAGGCCCCAAGAGACCCCCCAGAGGCACCCAAGATGCTCCAAGAGGCCTCGGCGAGAATGCCAAAACGGCCTCCGCGAGGAAGCAAAAATCACTGGTTTTACTAAGGTTTCGGCCCCATTTGGGCCTCCTGGGGGGGGACGCTAATTCATGCTCCCCTCTTGTTTGATCGATCTCCTCCAAGATGGCCCCAAGAAGCCCCAAGAGGTCCCAAGATGGCCCCAAGATGGCCCCAAGAGGCCACCAAGAGGCCCCCGGGAGGCCCCCAAGGGACCCCCAAGAGGCCCCCAGAGACCCCCCAGAGGCACACACGATGCTCCAAGAGGCCTCGGTGAGAATGCCAAATCATTGATTTCACAGAAAGGTTTTCGCCACATGTTGGCCTCTTGGGGGGGAGCACTGGTGAAGATGACTCCAAGAGCGCCTGGGAGAGCACAAGATGACCTCCAAGATGGCTCCAGACATCCCAAGATGTCTCATAATGGCTTCCTCTGTGTGCTGCCCACTTCCCTGATCCAGGCAATTCCTCTGGGCATCGTTTCTGGATGGGCTGGTGGGCATTCACGAAGCGTCAACAACTCTAAACCGTAAACCCCAAACCCTAAACCCTTCAAAGAGCCCTCCCACGGCCCAACCTGACCCGTTGCTCGAACTGCGCCTGGCCGTGACAAGCAAGGTCCTAGGAAAGCAAGACGCGAAAGACCGGACGCCAGCGTCGAAGATCCGACAACAAAATGAGGCACAGGCGTTCTTGGGACGACGCTGGCCCCGCGATCCCCAGACCCCCTCCCTGGCGAGAGGAAGCGCGCCGAGGACGGCGTCGGCAGCGCCGCCGGGGTTAGGGGCAACGCTAGGGGGGGACTGGCTGGGGGGAGATAAACATCGAGCTGGGACCGGCGATAGATCGGCGATGAGCCCCGAGAGCGAAGCCACACGCTCCCGGGCAGGGAGGGCTATCGGGCCCCCGTCGGCAATCAGTGGGCGACCAGGGGCCGATGCGCCCCCCCCGAGCTGGGACGCACATAGACATACTAGTACTGTATGTCCTCCTTGGAGGCGCGCGTCCGACCCGATCATACAATGTACCCATCTTGTAATAATATCGTCTCCCGAGCGGTATGGCCAGAAAGCGCCGGCCACGCTGGGGGGCGGCGCACACATAGTATGAGTATGCTGGGTTGACGCCGATGGGCCCATCCCCTGCCCATCGAAGCCCCCGAGGGGGGGCCCAGCGCCGACCCAGGAAGTCCCAGCGAGCGTGGGTCTCCGGCACCAGGCGGACAGCTGAAGCTGGAACGATCGCGGCCTCCCGACAGGGCGGATCGATCGATGACGGCCAAGTCTGGGCACGTTTTCCATGCCGAGTTTGTTTGTGTTGACTGTCCCAGGGCCCGGCGAGGGCCCATGGAGCCGAAAGCGGACAAAAGCATCCCGTCGTGATGTTGTCTGCGGCGCGAGCTTGCCTGGGGCCCCACCCTCTGACGGTGCAGACCTTCGCCGCCTGGAGCAGGTGCGGCGGCGTCTCGTCCTCGGCAGACCGCACAGCGGGCGCCGCGCGCCTAGGCGTGCTCGCAGGCGGGTGCGCCACGACCTCGGGGCGCGGCTGCTGCACACGGCCTGGCAAGCCACAAGAGCGGAAGGAGGGAGGGGGGGGGCGACGAGATCTATACTTAGCCACCGCCGCTGGCCAGGCCCATCCTGGGCCCCGGAGCGGTGCATAGGCCCCCCTGGCTTGCCCAGGCAGCCCTATGCACCGCTCCGGGGCCCAGGATGGGCCTGGCCAGCGTTGGTGGATCCGTATAGATCTCGTCGCCCTAAGGAAGGGTGCGCAGAGAGCACCATGCACGTGCACCACCACCGTGCCTGGCCATGGGGGCCCCAAGAGAGCCCCACGCGGTCGACAGGGGCCCCCGAAGAGGCCCCACGAGGGCTCCAAACAGGCTCCAAGAGGCCTCCAATAGACTCCCAGAGCGAAAAATCCGCACAGGCCCTTCCCGTCGAATCGTCGTCGCCGTCGTCCTCGCCCTCGCCCTCGCCCTCGCCCTCGCCCTCGCCCTCGCCCTCGCCCTCGCCTGCCTCCTCTTCCTCCTCCTCCTCCTCCTCCTCCTCCTCCTCCTCCTCCTCCACCTCGTGCTCCTCCTCCTCCTCCTCCTCCTCCTCCTCCTCCTCCTCCTCCTCCTCCTGCTCATCCTCCTCCTCCTCCTCCTCCACGAACTCCTCGTCCCCCCTCCTTCCCCTGCTCATCCCCATCCACCCCCCCGTCTTCCCCCTCCTCCCCACCCTCCTCCCCTCTTGCATTCCCCCTCCTCGTTGCGATTGCGCGGCCTGCGGGATCGGCGGGCGGGGGAACCACGGCGGCGGCGCTGGGGGCCGCGCGGGAGGGCCTCGCGCCGTCGTCGTCGTCGTCCTCATCCTCCTCCTCCTCCTCCTCCTCCTCCTCCTCCTCCTCCTTCTCCGCCGTCTCCTCCTCCTCACCCTTCTCATGGTTACAGCTCTTAGTACGAATAATCATATGAATGATCATAATAATAATGAAACTAACAAATAATTTGTGCTAACGGAGTTCCCCACATAAAGATATTAACGGTTTCGTGGGACCCATGGGGTACGACAACATCAACACGAAGGAGAAGCTCATCGAACGAGTAAGTACGCATGAAAGGGCAGACACAAAAGAAAGGAGGAGGGAGGACAGGTGCTCAGGAAACGAAGCCTTGTAAATAGTATTGGTTTCCGATACCCTCCTCGCTCAGGCGGGGCCACCCTGGAGGGGTGGGAGGGGCACGAAACCATGTAAATAGTATTGGTTTCCGATACCCTCCTCGCTCAGGCGGGGCCTCCCTGGAGAGGTGGGAGTGGCACGAAACCATGTAAATAGTATGGGTCTCCGATACCCTCCTCGCTCAGGCGGGGCCTCCCTGGAGGGGTGGGACGGGCACGAAGCCATGTAAATAGTACGGGTTTCCGATACCCTCCTCGCTCAGGCGGGGCCTCCCTCGACAGGTGGGAAGGGCACGAAACCATGTAATTAGTATTGGTTTCCAATACCCTCCTCGCTCATGCGGGGCCTCCCTGGAGGGGTGGGAGGGGCACGAAACCATGTAAATAGCATGGGTGTCCGTTACCTTCCTCGCTCAGGCGGGGCCTCTCTGGAAGGGTGGGAGGAGCACGAAACCATGTAAATAGTATGGGTTTCCAATACCCTCCTCGCTCAGGCGGGGCCTCCCTGGAGGGGAGGGAGGGGCACGAAACCATGTGAATAGTACGGGTTTCCGATACCCTCCTCGCTCAGGCGAGGCCTCCCTGGAGAGGTGGGAAGGGCACGAAACAATATAAATAGTATGGGTTTCCGATACCCTCCTCGCTCAGGCGGGGCCTCCCTGGAGGGGTGGGAGGAGCACGAAACCATGTAGATAGTATTGGTTTCCGATACCCTCCTCGCTCAGGCGGGGCCTCCCTGGAGGGGTGGAAGGGGCACGAAACAATGTAAATAGTACTGGTTTCCGATACCCTCCTCGCTCAGGCGGGACCTCCCTGGAGGGGAGGGAGGGGCACGAAACCATGTAAATAGTATTGGTTTCCGATACCCTCCTCGCTCAGACGGGGCCTCCCTGGAGGGGTGGGAGGGGCACGAAACCATGTAAATAAAATGGGTTTCCGATACCCTCCTCGCTCAGGCGGGGCCTCCCTGGAGGGGTGGGAGGGGCACGAAACCATGAAAATAGTATGGGTTTCCGTTACCTTCCTCGCTCAGGCGGGGCCTCCCTGCAGAGGTGGGAAGGGCACGAAGCCTTGTAAATAGTATGGGTTTCCGACACCCTCCTCGCTCAGGCGGGGCCTCCCTGGAGGGGTGGGAGGAGCACGAAAACATGTAAATAGTATTGGTTTCCGATACCCTCCTCGCTCATGCGGGGCCTCCCTGGAGGGGTGGGAGGGGCACGAAACCATGTAAATAGTACGGGTTTCCGATACCCTCCTCGGTCAGGCGGGGCCCCCCTGGAGGGGAGGGAGGGACACGAAACCATGTAAATAGTATAGGTTTCGGATGCCCTCCTCGCTCAGGCGGGACCTCCCTGGAGGGGTGGGAGTGGCACGAAATCATGTAAATAGTATGGGTTTCCGATGCCCTCCTCGCTCAGGCGGGGCCTCCCTGGAGGGGTGGGTAGGTATGGTATGGTATGGTATTGTTTGGTAGTGTGTGGTATGGTATGCTATGGTATGGTATGGTATGGTATGGTATGGCAGGTATGGTATGGTATGGTATGGAATGGTAGGCATGGTATGATATGGGAGGCTGGAATGGTAGGCGTGGTATTGGTATGGGAGGCGGGAGGCGGGAGGGAGAAGGAGAGGAGGGAATAATACGAATAGCAAAAATAAGGATCATAATAATAAGCATGCGAATGATGGTAATAGAATTAGTAATAAAAGAACTAGAAGTAGTAATACTAATAGTAATAGTGAAAATAGTAGTGATACGAATAATGATAATAATAAAAATAATAATAGTAATAATAACAGTCATAGTAATAGTAATAGTAATAGTAAGACTAATAGTAATCGTAACCGTAATTGAAGAATAATAGCAATAGTAATAGTGATAGTGATGGTAATAATACTAGTACTAGTATTAGTACTAGTACTAGTAATATTAATAGTAATAATAATAAGGATAGTAATAGTAATAAAACTAGTAATAGTGATTGTATCAGTAAGAGTAATAGTAATAATAATAATGAAAGTAAGAGTAAGAGTAAGAGTAATAGTAATAGCAATAGTAAATAGTAATAGTAATAGTAATAGTAATAGTAATAGTAATAGTAATAGTAATAGTAATAGTAATAGTAATAGTAATAGTAATAGTAATAGTAATAGTAATAGTAAGTAATAGTAATAGTAATAGTAATAGTAATAGTAATAGTAATAGTAATAGTAAGTAATAGTAATAGTAATAGTAATAGTAATAGTAATAGTAATAGTAATAGTAATAGTAATAGTAATAGTAATAGTAATAGTAATAGTAATAGTAATAGTAATAGTAATAGTAATAGTAATAGTAATAGTAATAGTAATAGTAATAGTAATAGTAATAGTAATAGTAATAGTAATAGTAATAGTAATAGTAATAGTAATAGTAATAGTAATAGTAATAGTAATAGTAATAGTAATAGTAATAGTAACAGCACTAGTACTAGTAATAGTAACAGTAACAGTGATAGTAATAATAATGCTAGTATTACAAATAATAATAATATCAATAATAGTGTTAGTCATACTACTAACACTAATAGTACTAGTAATAGTTATAGAAATTATATTAGTAATAGTGATAGTGATAGAAGTAGAAGTAGTAATAGTAAGAATAATAGTAATAGTAGTAGTTCTACTAGAATTAATAGTAATAGCACGTAAGAGTAATAGTAATAGTAATGGGAACCGCACTAATAATAATAGTAATTAGTAATAGGAATAGTACTAGTAATGGTAATCGCAATATTAATATCAATAGTGATAGTATAAGTAGTCGTAATAGTGATAGCGGTAGTAATAATATTAAACATGAGAACAATTATGCTAAACTAATAATAATATTAAAATAGATCATAGTGGTAGTAATAGTAATACTAATTAAAAACAATAATAGTAATAGTAAAAGTGACAGATCCAGTACTAGTACTAGTACTAATATTAATAATAATAAAAGCAATAAAAAAAATCAACAATAATAGTAATAGAAATAGTAGTAATGAGAATACCAGTGATAGTAATAGTAATAGTACTAGTAGTAGTAATAGTACTAGTACTAGTACTGGTACTAGTCCTAGTACTAGTGGTGGAACCAGTAGTAGTACTAGTATTAGTAATGGCAATAGTAATAGTAATAGGAATAATAAAAATAATAGTAATAGCAACAGTGATAATAATAGTAATAGAAATAGAAATAGGAATATGAATGGTAATAGTACTAACAATAATAGTAATAGGAATCGGAATAGGAATAGGAATAGGAATAGGAATATGAATAGGAATAGGAATAGGAATGGGACTAGGAATGGGAATAGGAATAGGAATAGGAATAGAAATAGTAATAGTAACAGTTAGGGTGATACTAATAGCACTAGTAATAATAATAGTAATAATAATAATGATAGTGATATTAATAGTAATGGCAATAATAATAGTGATAGTAATAGTAATAGTAATAGTACTAGTAATAGTAATAGTAATAGGAATAGTAATAGTAATAGTAATAGTAATAGTACGCGCAATAGTAATAGTAAGAGTAAAAGTAATAGTAATAGTAGTAGTAATAGCAATAGTAATAGTAATAGTAATAGTAATAGTAATAGTAATAGTAATAGTAATAGTAATATTAATAGTAATAGTAATAGTAATAGTAATAGTAATAGTAATAGTAATAGTAATAGTAATAGTAATAGTAATAGTAATAGTAATAGTAATAGTAATAGTAATAGTAATAGTAATAGTAATAGTAATAGTAATAGTAATAGTCGTAATAGTAATAGTAATAGTAATAGTAATAGTAATAGTAATAGTAATAGTAATAGTAATAGTAATAGTAATAGTAATAGTAATAGTAATAGTAATAGTAATAGTAATAGTAATAGTAATAGTAATAGTAATAGTAATAGTAATAGTAATAGTAATAGTAATAGTAATAGTAATAGTAATAGTAATAGTAATAGTAATAGTAATAGTAATAGTAATAGTAATAGTAATAGTAATAGTACTAGCAGTAATACCAGTAATAGTAATTCTCATACGCACCTCTCCGAGGGAGTAGAGCTCAGAGGCGATTAATGCGCACGCGTCCGCGATTTTTTCTGTGCGTTTCGCTCGGGACATCCTCGAAATTCTGAAAATCGGTGGCACCCCTCACGCAGATCGTGACGTCAGGGTCCAAAAACACATGGGAATTTCAACAGTTTAACATAAAACCTTCAAAAACACCTGGTAAGTTCAATAAGTTTGATCCCGATTCTCAGGGAATGGCGGTTTCGCTTGAAAAATCCTTCCAAAATCGAGCCCCAGACCCCGCCTCGGAGCCTCCTGGTGGCCTCCTGGAACCTCCTGGTGCCTCCTGGTGCTTTCTGAACCTTCTGGCGCCCCAGACCCCGCCTCGGAGCCTCCTGGTGGTCTCCTGAAACCTCCTGGGGCCTCCTGGGGCCTCCTGCGGCCTCCTGGAGCCTCTTGGGGCCTCCTGAAGCCTCCTGGGGTCTCCTGGAGCCTCCTGAGGCCGCCTGGGGCTTCCTGGGGCCTCCTGGGGCTTCAGAACTACATGCACACAGAGACACAAATCACGCCCAACACATCACACGCTAGACAAACATACCACACACACAACACCTACAACACACAAAAAGTACGCACCACACAAAGCATACATCACACACACACGCATAACACTCACAATCCTGGGGCCTCCTGGAGTCTCTTCTGGTATCAAAGTCGGGCCTCCTGGGGCTTCCTGGGGGGTCCTGGTACACACATCGCAAGGTGTGGCAACCCCACTTGCGCTCGAGTGAGACTTCGATGTTGCATTTCACTCCTGCTTCAAACGCCCCTTCAGTTTTTTGTATGAGCCTGGGCACACACGTGCCACTTGTAATAGTGATAGTGGCAGTGAAAGTTGTAGTGATAGTAGTTGAAATAGTCGTAGTACTAATAAAAGTAATAGTTAAAGAAATAGTAATAACCGTGGTAATTAGAATAGTAATAGTTGTAAGAACAGTAATTGGAATAGTAATTAGCAGTAGTAAAAACAATAGCAATAGCAATAGTAATAGTAATAGTAATAGTAATAGTAATTGTAATAGTAATAGCAATAGTAATAGTAATAGTAATAGTAATAGTAATAGTAATAGTAATAGTAATAGTAATAGTAATAGTAATAGTAATAGTAATAGTAATAGTAATAGTAATAGTAATAGTAATAGTAATAGTAATAGAAATAGTAATAATAATAGTAATAGTAATAGTCGTAGTAATAGTAGAAGTGATACGAATAGCAATAGTAATAGTTAAAGAAATAGCAATGGCCATAGCAAGAATATTCGTAATAGAAATAGCAATAGTAGTAGCAACTGTCATAGTAACCGTAACAGTAATCGTAACCGTATTAGTACTAGTAATAACACTAGTATTGTGAATAGTAATGGTGATGGTAATAATAATAATAACCGTGTGAATAATTAAGAGTAAATACTCATAGTAATAGTAAGGGTAAAAAATAAGAACCATAAGAATGATGATGTTAGAGGTAACAAAATTATCATCAGTATGAGTAGCATTACTATTATGACGAATAGTATCACTAGTACGATCATGAGTAGCTATAGTAGCAGTAGTAATAGTAGTAGTAATCGTGATCCTACTAGTATTGCAATTGCGATTGGTAGCAGCATCACCATGAGTAGCAGTATCAGAATCAGTACCAGCATCAGTAATACTAGTGCTATTACTATTACTACCACTAGTGGTGATAACAGACGTATCAATATCAGTAGTACCAGTGGTATTGCTCGCAGTGTTAGTGATGGTAATATTAGCATGAATCCTACTAGTATTAAAATAATAGTATGCGTATTCGTGTTGGTAATAGTATGAGTACTAGTATTCGTGTTAGCACTCGAATTCGTGTTAGTGTTAGTAGTGATAGTAGTAGCAGTCGTAGTCGTAGTAGTAGCAGCAGTAGTGGTAGTAGTAGTAGTAGCAGTAGTAGTAGTAGTGGTAGTGGTAGTAGTGGTAGTAGTGGTAAAAGTAATGGTAGTAGTGGTAGTAGTGGTAGTAGAAGTAGCAGTAGTTGTTGCTATAGCAGCAGTAGTAGCAGTAGCAGTAGTAGTAGTAATCGTAGTAGTAGTTGTAGAAGATGAAGAAGAAGAAGAAGAAGAAGAAGAAGAAGTATCGTGAATAGTGATCGTAGTCTTCTTCCGCTTCCTCTTCCTCCTCCTCCTCCTCCTCCTCCGCCTCCTCATCCTCCTCCGCCTCCTCCTACTCCTCCTCCTCCTCATCCTTCTCCTCCTCCTCCTCCTCCTCCTCCTCCTCGTCCTCCTCCTCCCCCTCCTCCTCGTCTTCCTCCTCGGAGGCGACGACGGCGGCGGCATCGTCGGCGGCGCTGTCGCCCTGAGGCAAAGCTGGGGGCCCGCTAGAGCCCACCGCGCCCGCCTGCTGCTCCCTCCGCTCCACGAAGGGGGGGGGGCGAGAACCCTCAAAGCAAATTTCATAACTGGTTTCCCAATATATATATATATATATATATATATATATATAGTGTTCGAATATGTCATGCTCGATGTCTCTCTCGGCATTCAAAGCTTCCAAGACGGCCCACGAGGCACCCCAGATCGCCGCAAGATGCCCAAAAAGCCGCGCAAGACGGCTCCCACCTGAACTCCACGTGGGGAGGAGGAGTAGGAGGGCTGACGGCAGTCGAGGAGAGGATCAGTCGGCACCGAATCGGGAAGCCGGATCGGATCGGAAAGCGAGCCTTCCACGGAAGCATCCAGCCGCATTCGCTCGTCCGGACATCGGAATCTCGATTCGAATCGGGCCAGTAGGAGCCGTCGTCAAGTCAGACCGGTGGGATCGAGATGAGTGGGCCCTGGGAGGGGGGGCGAGGAGCCGACCGAGGAGGAGGGAGGAGGGAGGAGGAGGGAGGGGGGGGAGGAAAAGGGAGGAGGACGGAGGAGGAGGAGGGAGGAGGGAAGAGGAGTGAGGAGGAGGGAGGAGGAGTGAGGAGGAGGGAGAAGGAGGCAGGAGGAGGGAGGAGGAGGGAGGGGGGTGGGGGGGGGGAGCAGATGGCGCCCCAGGTGGAGCACCAAGCGGCTTGCCTCGGGAGGGGGGGATGCATCATGCCCCTTAGCCTCGGGAGGGTAGAAAAAACATCCTCGTGAGAAGCCTTCTGGTAAAGGTGCTCAAGGAAGGGATCGAACGGGGCAGGACTGGTTCGCAAATACCCAGGGGCTATGGAAACAACGCCAGTTGAGGGGTCGGGGTGAATTGTCCTCCTTCGAAACCTTCCCCCATCCACGTTCCTCAGGAATGGCTCCCCCGTCTCCCGCTGCCCCAAACATGTCGGCAGGGCGGTGCCAGGCGCTTCGCCTGAGACTTCCCCACCCGCGCACATGTGTACTAAAAGCTGGCAACAGCTACAAAAAGGTTGCTCTCGCGTCAGCGATGCGCTTGTCCATTATACAAACTTGCAGCAGATACAAGAATGGATGGCGGGTCCCTTCCAAAATAGTGCTCTCACTTGAGCGCCGCTCCGTGTCATCTTTCCTCCTCATCCTCATCCGAATCCTCATCCTCCCTCTCATCCTCTTCCTCCTCCTAACTCCGCCCTCACCACCTCTGTCTTATCCTCCTAACTCCTCATCCTCCTCATCCTCGAACTCGTCCTCCTCCTCCTCCTCGTCGCCACCGCCGCCGCGATCGTGGTTGACATCATCACCATCACCATCAGCAGCACCACCACCACCACCACCACCACCACCATCATCATCATCATCATCATCATCATCATCATCATCATCATCATCACCATCAGCATCAGCATCAGCATCAGCCTCATCATCATCATAATCAGCAGCAGCAGAGCAACATTATCATCATCATCATCATCATCATCATCATCAGCATCATCATCATCGTCATCATGATCATCATCGTCATCATGATCATGATCATCATCAGCAGCATCATCATCAGCACCATCATCCTCATAAGCATCAGCATCATCGTCATCATCAGCATCATCAGCAGCAGCATCAGCATCTGCGTCATCATCAGCATCATCAGCAGCAGCATCATCAGCAGCATCATCATCACCACAATCACCATCATCATCATCATCATCAGAATCATCATGATCATAGCATCAACATCATCAACCTCATCAACAGCAGCAGCACAAACATCATCATCGTCATCGTCATCGTCATCATCATCAGCATCATGATAATCATCATCATCATCGTCGTCATCATCATCGTCATAATCGTCAGTACCATCATCATCATCGTCATCATCATCAGCATCATCGGCATCATCGAAATGATAATCATCCTTGTCTTCATCATCATCACCACAATCCTTCCTCATCCTTCCTCCCTCGTCCCAAGGTCGGCTCCTCCATCTCTTCCACCCCATCTTTTCACGGCACAGGCTACTCGGCAGCCGCCGGCGCCCTGGCCAGGCCGCTTGGTATGCCGCCGGGCATGGGGCCGCTGGTGATCCTCTGAAGGCGCGGCGGAGCGTCTGCCTCTGGGCGAAAGCCAGAGCGGTCTTCGGAGGAGGGGGAAGGGAGGAGAGAGGTGAGCCAGCAGGAAGGCAGCCGAGTCGATAGCTCCGAGCTGAACGAAGACAGCGGCTAGGTGGGCAGAGACATGCAAACCTGAAGGTGCCCAAGGACACATACACACACACAAATAAATAGATACAAGTCCCAGGATCCCACATCTTTCCATATTTTCTGACTTCTCGTCTCCCCCCACTTCCCACATTTTCCCATATTCCCCTTGGGATCGACGATTATTGATGTCTGCGCCTATCCTTCCCTCCTGACAAGGCTGCAGCAGGAGGAGGAGAAGAAGGAGAGGGGGCGGGGCGAGAGAGCCAGGGTGGGAGCACGAGGGGCGAAGGGGGAGGTAGAAGGAAGGGGGGCGGAATTAAGGGAGAAGCTGAGGAGCAGGAGGAGGAGGGGGGAGGAGGGGGAGGAGGACTTGGCAGGGGAGGAGGGTGAGGAGGAGAAGGAAAAAGGGGGAGGGGAGGGGAGGAGGAGGGAGAGGAGAAGGAGGACGAGGAAGGGGAGAGGGAGGGCGAGGGAGAAGGAGGAGGAAGAGGAGGAGGAGGAGGAGGGGGGGAGGGGGAGGAGGAGGAGAGGAGGAGGAGGAGGAGGAGGAGGAGGGAGGAGGAGGAGGAGGAGGAGGACGAGGAGGAAGAGGAGGAAGAGGAGGAGGAGGAGGACTTGGCAGGGAAGGAGGGGGAGGGGGAGGGGAAAGAGGAGGAAATGGAGGAGGAGTTGGCAGGGGAGGAGGGGGAGGAGAGGGGGAGCGGGAGGGGGGAGGCGGAGGGCAGAGTAAGCCCAGAGTGCATCGTGCTGTAATGCACAGTCCCGTCTCAAGCCGCCTCCTCATAAGTCCCTGCAGACACTCCCACTCACTGTCCGTTACAAAATTCTACCCATCGGAATGGAAATCTCAGGCCTCCAAGAGGCCTCCAGGAAGCTCCTGGGAGGCCCAAAGAATGCCCAAGGAGGACCCCAAGACGCGAGAACCCCTTGTTCTTATAAACAACTCTTCCCTGTCGCAACCCTAGACGTGTCGGTTGGGCGGGCCGGGCGTCTCGCCTGAGACTTCCTCATCACTTACGATTATGAGGCTTTAAAAAATACAAGAGCTTCACGGATGGAGGGCTGTTCGTCTCGCCTTGGCGCCGCACACATTCGTATTACGAGTTCCCAACACCTTCTCGCATGGAGAAAGGGTCGGACGGAGGGTCGTTTACAAAATGTGGCTCTCGCCTTAGCGCTGAGCACGTTCGTCTGAAAGGATTGCGACAGCCTCCCGGATTGAAGGCAGTTCCTTTTCAAAATGTAACTCTCGCCGTATCGCCGCGCACATTCGTCTGCAAAGCTTGCAACCGTCACAAACATTCGCATGGTTGAAGTCCCAAGAACGTTCCGGTATGATTCATGATTGCCAGGACTCAACAGTCACGTCTTCTCGCGGTGTTGAAGTTCCAGAGGCGGTGTTCTGGCACGATTTCGCATATCAGGACGCGCCAGTCATGTTGATTCGCGGCGTTGAAGTATCAGAAAATTGTACGTTGGCACGATGAAACATTATCCGACTATTGTCTTCCAACGGAGCGCTCACTGCAATGAAAATTGTTATCCTGGCGCAAAGCCCAACCATATGCAACTGTGAGTACCGCGTTGTGGGCACCGCTTTCGGTTGAGCTCCCTTGGGTGCCACACAACGTGTGATGGCTGTGCCGCCATGGGTGCGGTGGTGCCATGCGAGCGCAGCCACTGGGGCCCTCGGTGGAGCTCCCTATGTGGCTACGAAACGTGTGGGGGGTGCGCCGAAAGGGGCGCGGTGGTGCCATGCGAGCGCAGCCACTGGGGCCCCCGGTGGAGCTCCCCATGGGGCCACGAAACGTGTAAGGGGTGTGCCAAAGTAGGCGCGGTGGTGCCATGGGAGAACAGACACTGGGACATTCGATGGAGTTCCCCCTGGGGCCACGAAACGTGTAAGGGGTGTGCCCAAAGGGGCACGGTGGCGCCATGCGGGCGCAGCCAGTGGGTCCTCGGTGGAGCTCCCCATGGGGCCACGAAACGTGTGAAGGGTGTGCCGAAATGGGCGCGGTGGTGCCACGCAAGCGCAGCCACTGGGGCCCTCGGTGGAGCTCCCCATGGGGCCACGAAACGTGTGGGGGGTGCGCCGAAATTGGCGCGGTGGTGCCATGCTAGCGCAGCCACTGGGCCCTCGGTGGAGCTCCCTACGGGCCACGAAACGTGTGAGGGGTGTGCCGTCATGGGCGCGGTGGTACCATGCTGGGGCTTTCGGTGGAGGTCCCTATGGGGCCACGAAAAATATGAGGGATGTGCCGAAATGGGTGCAGTGTCGTGCGAGCGCAACCAATATGGCCCTCGGCGAATCTCCATTCCTATGGGGCCACGAAACGTGTGCGAGATGTACCGACATGGGTGGGTGCGGCGGTACCACGCGAGCGCAGCCACTGGGACCCTCGGTGGGGCTCCTCATGGGGCCACGAAACGTGTGATAGGTGTGCCGCAATGTGCCACGCAAGCGCAGCCACTGTGGCACTCGGTGGAGCTTCCCGTGGGGACACGAAACATGTGGGGGTGCGCCGAGATTGGCGCGGTGATGCCATGCGAGCGCAGCTATTGGGGCCCTCGGTGGGGCTCCCTATGAGTCCACGAAACGCGGGAGGAGTGTGCCGAGATGGGCGCAGTGGTGCCATGCCAGAGCAGCCACGGGGGCCTTCGGTGGAGCTCTTGTGGGGCTACGAAACGTATGAGCGTGTGCCAACATGCGGAGGGCAGAGGCAGGGATGGCAGGAGGGATGAGCGGGAGGAGCAGGAGTGAGGGAGGGACGCAGGGCGCTGTCCCATCAGAACGAAGACCCCACACCACACGATGGTTGGGAATTTCTTGTAGGGACCTATGCAGAGGAAACTTGGATTGGGGGTTCATCGCAACATCAATGATGCGTCTTGGATTTACGTCCTCCTCCTCCTGCTCCATCTCCTGATGCTCTCCCTCCTCCTCCCCAAAATGTTCCCCGAAGGGTTTCCACTACGGCTCGGGGAATACATAGCCAGGTAGCTTGCCAATGTGTTGGCCACAACGTTTGGCCACCACGGCGCTTCCAACAGACAGGGAACGACGGTGGTTCGCCGTGGACGTCTCCGATCTAATCTTGATATGAGTACACCTACTGGTAAAAGCGGTATCTTCTCAGCCGCATGTCCGTTGCACAAGCACGTGTTGAAGAATGAGGAGAAGGTGAAGAGGAGGAAGGGGGAAAACACGATTCGATCCTGTAATAGTGTGGGGCGGTGCCCTGAGGCTGGGTAAAGAGGCCAGGATATGGGAAAGGAGGAGCGGGACGAGGAGAACGGGAAGAACGACGAGTAGAACGAGAAGAGGAGAGGAAGCAGAAGAAGAAGGAGGAGGAGCACGAAGAAAGGAGGGGAAGGAGGAGGGGGGAGGGGGAGGAGGGGGAGAAGGAGGGGGGAGGAGGGGAGAAATGGGGAGGATGTGCTGATTGGATGAGAGGAGAGGCATCGGACAAAAGCCAGTCCAGCGGGCCTAGTCCAGCCCAGAATCGGAGGCCCAAAAATCTGAGGCCTCCTCAAAAACCCTCCGCGCCCGCGTCACGCTCGAGGAGGATCGCGCCCAGGGCGGGGACGCCTGGGAGCCCATCCTCAAGACCGAACGCCCTCAGCACAGCAGCTCGGGACCCTGAGCTCACAGAGCCCACACCCCGAAGCCCAGCTCCCGCCCCCTCCGCCATCGCGTCCCGAGCCGCCGTGCTGTGGGGAGGCCCCAGAGGGCCCAAAAAGGAACGCCATTCACACCCATGTGCCCTCGGGCACCCCAGTGGGCGGATCGACGACCCAGTCCTTCAAATCTGTCTTATAGAAGAGGGCCAGCGGCCGACCTTGACTCGGCGTAGCTGCTCACTCACGCCCGAGGACGCCTGCTCTCGGAGACACGGCCGAAGGAGGGGCCGAGTGGGCCTGTGCCCAAGGAAGAAGACGCCACAAGCACAGCAGAAGCACAGAGACAGGCCGTCCTCGTTGCCCGACCGAGCCGCCACCCGGGCAAACAACAGAAACTGTATCCCGCACCGCGATGCTGCACCCGGCCGTCCGCTGAGGGCTGCACCTCGCCCATCTCAACGGCGGGGGGCGACACGAGTGAGGCGTGTGCCAAAATGGGTGCGGTGGGCGCATGCGAGCGCTGACATCTGGGCTTCGGCGGAGCTCTCCATGGGGCCACAAAACGTGTGAGGGGTGTCCCGCAATGGGTGCGGTGGGCGCATGCGAGCGCTGGCATCAGGGCCTTCGGTGGGTCTCCTTCTAGGGCCACGAAGCGCCTGAGGGGTGTCCCAAAATGGGTGCGGTGGGTGCACGCGGGCGCTGGCATGTGGACCTTCGGTGGGGCTCCCTATGGAGCCACGAAGCGTGTGATGGGTGTGCCAAAATGGGCGCGGTGGGCGCATGCGTGCGCTGGCATCTGTGCCTTCGTTGGAGCTCCCTATGGGGCCACAAAACGTGTGAGGCGTGTGCCAAAATGGGCGCAGTGGGCGAATGCGTGCGCTGGCATCTGGGCCTGTGGTGGAGCTCTCTATGGGGCTACAAAACGTGTAAGGCGTGTGCCAAAATGGGTGCGGTGGGCGCATGCAAGCGCTGGCATGTGTGCCTTCGGTGGAATTCCCCATGGGGCGACGAAACATTCGAGGGGTGTGCCAAAATGGGCGCGGTGGGCGCATGCGAGCGCTGGCATCTGTGCCTTCGTTGGAGCTCCCTATGGGGCCACAAAACGTGTGAGGCGTGTGCCAAAATTGGTGCGGTGGGCGAATGCGTGCGCTGGCATCTGGGCCTGTGGTGGAGCTCTCTATGGGGCTACAAAACGTGTAAGGCGTGTGCAAAAATGGGTGCGGTGGGCGCATGCGAGCGCTGGCATGTGTGCCTTCGGTGGAATTCCCTGTGGGGCCACGGAGCGTGCGAGGGGTATGCCAAAATTGGCGCGGTGGGCGCATGTGAGCGCTGGCATCAGGGCCTTCGGTGGGGCTCCCTATGGGGCCGCGAAGCGTGTGAGGGGTGTGCCAAAATGGGTGCGGTGGGCGCATGCGAGCGCTGGCATCTGGGCCTTCGGTGGGGCTTCCTATGGGGCCACGAAGCGCCTGAGGGGTGTCCCAAAATGGGCGCGGTGGGCGCATGCGAGCGCTGGCATGTGTGCCTTCGGTGGAGCTCCCTGTGGGGCCACGGAGCGCGCGAGGGGTATGCCAAAATTGGCGCGGTGGGCGCATGCGAGCGCTGGCATCTGGGCCTGTGGTGGAGCTCCCTATGGGGCTACAAAACGTACGAGTGTGCCAAAATGGGTGCGGTGGGCGCATGCGAGCGCTGGCATCTGGGCCTTTGGTGGAGCTCCCTATGGAACCGAGAAACGTGCGAGGGGTGTGCCAAAGTGGGGGAAGAGAGGAGAAGAGGGAGGATAGGAGGAGGGAGGAGCGGGAGGAGGAGGAGTGAGGACGCGGGGCACTGTCTCTTCAAAACGAGGACCCAACACCACAGGATGGTTGGGAACAAAAAAGGCGGAGAAGGAGGAGGAGGAGGAGGAGAAGAAGGAGGGAGGGGGAAGGAGGGGGGCTAGGGGGGAAGGAGTGGGAAGGAGGGTGAGAGAAGAAGGAGGTTGAGGAAAAGGACCAGAGCACCACGAGGAGGCGTCAGCGACGCTGCAACACGCCCTCCCGAGCAGTCCTCCACCCTTGTGACACGTAAAGCTGTTCAGCTTCAGAATAACGGGTTGCGAGGACGTCTCAAGCGGAACACCTGGCAGCACCAGCGGGACACGCCTGGTGGTGCGACAGGGGGAAGTTACCTCATCGGGAGGAGGGATGGAGAAGGGGGAAAGGGGGGGAGGAACCCGGGGGAAGAAAGATGCGGGAAGAGGAAGGAGAAGGTATTACCTCATCAGGAGGAGCGGTGCACATTGCATCGTGAATATGCTCTGTGGCTACACGCGTTGTCTTTGCGTCCGTGCGTCTCAAACCGGTGCCGACCCTCTTCACAGCGGTGCTGGAGCGTGGTGTCTCGCACTTTCCCACACCTTGTCGTTGAGTGCGGCTGCGTAGAGTTCTACGTAGACTTCGAGGAGTCCTCTGACTTTTCGCAGGCAAAAGTGAGGCGGGGAGAGGAGGGGAGAGAAAGAGGAGGAAGGAGTTACCCCTCTCCTCCTTCCCCCTCCTCCACCTCCTCGTCCCTCCCCCTCCTTGAAAGAGGAGGTACCCGAAAGGATGGAGGAGGGAAAGTGGGGTGAAAGAAATGAAGGAGAGGGAAGGAGGGATGGAGGGGAGAAGAGGAGAACGAGGAGGAGGAGGAGGACGACGAGGAGGAGGACGAGGAGGTGGACGAGGAGGAGAAGGAGGAGGAAAAAGAGGAGAGCGAGAGGACGGAGGAGGAAGAGGAGGGGGAGGGGAGAGGAGGATGACGATGGGGAGCAGAACGACGACGAGAAGATAGGGTACTTTGAGGAGGAGGGGGTGGGAAGGAGGAGGGAGGAGGAATGCAGGGGCAAGGAATAGGGGAGGGGGAGCAGGGGCAGGAGGCGGCCTGGCCGCGGGCCACGGCGCCAGGGCGCGAGGGGGGCCCCGCGCCGATCGGCGCCGCAGGGCGGGGGGCCTGCGGACCATCCGCGAGAACTCGCCCAGGTCCGCGGGCCCGGCGCGCCACGGCTCCTCATCCTCGTGCGGGGAGCAGGAGGAGGAGGACCAGTGTAAAACCAAGAGTCATCAACAATGTTAAAATTAACCCTCCCTCCAAGCTCCCTCTTCGTAGGCCCCCCACAACGGTTCACGTCCATTGAAGGAACTGCCTCGTTGGAAGACAACCGTTTGGATCCTGAAGCATGCCAAAACATGTTCTCGGGAAATCAACGCCACGTATCAACCTGACTGCTGCGTCTTGACAATCCGGAATCTTGCCAGAGCACCATGTTTGGGATTTCAACACCGCGAATCAACATAACTGTTGCACCCGCATAATCCTGAATCCTTCCAAAACACTATGTCTGGTACGTTGATCATGGGAATCAGTGAACCTCTTGCAAATTTCGAATGTGCGCGGCGCTAAGGCGAGAGCCACATTTTGAAAACCACCCGCCCTCAATCCGTGAAACTCTTGCAACTGTTTAAAAGGAATGTGCGCGAGGCTAGGGCGAGAGACACGTTTTGAAAACGACCCGCCATCAACCCATTAAACTCATGCAAATGTTTACAAAGAATGCGCGCGGCGCTAAGGCGAGAGCCACAGTTTGTAACGACCCGCCCTGCATATGTGAAACTGCGGTCACTTCTTAAGCTTCAGCGTCATAGATGGTGAGGAAGGCTTAAGCGAAACGCCCGGCCCGCCCTAAAAACTGGCCTCGGGGAGCGACAGGGAGGAGTTATCTATAAGGAGAAGGCATGGAGGAGGAGGAAGAGGAGGAGGAGGAGGAGGAGGAGGAGTCCGTGAGGGCACCGCAGATGCTGCGGACGAGCGCGAAGCGCCGAGGCGAGGGCCCCACATCGAGGAGGGGCTGCCTCCGCACTCGAAGCTGGTACAAACTTCGAGGACGAGCACGCGGGGCGCCAGGACGAGAAGCACATTTTGAAGAGGAGACGCCCTCCTTCTCCTCATCCTCCTCCTCCTCCACCTCCACCTCCTCCTCCTCCACCTGCGGCGCTACGGCGAGAGCCACACTTTGGAAAGGGCCTTCCCTCCATGCGCGGCGCTGCTGCACACGTCTAAAACGAACGTGCGCGGCGGAAGGGCGAGAGCCACATTTTGGAAAGGACCCTTCCTCCAAAGGCGAAGCTGCTGCAAGCGTCTAAGAGGAACGTGCGCGGCGCTCAAGCAAGAGACACATGTTGGAAAAAAATCATCCGTCCATGCGTCAAACTGCTGCAAATGTTCAAAACGAATGCGCGTGTCGCTAAGGCGATAGTCACATTTTGAAAACGAACCACCATCCATCCGAGACACGGTTGCAAACTTTTACAACGAATGTGCGGGGCGCTATGGCGAGAGCCACACTCTGCAAGGGAACCGCCCGGAATCAGTGAAACTGTTGAGCACTTCCAAAACGAATGTGCGCGGCGCTAAGGCGAGAGCCACATGTTGGAAAGGAACTGCCCGACATTCGCGAATTGGCTGAAAACTTGTAGAAGCAAATGTGCGCGGCGCTGAGGCGAAAGCCACATTTTGAAAACGAACCGCCCTCCATCCATGACACTGTTGCAAATTTCCAGCTTCAGATTGAGAAACGATGAGGTCTCAGGCAAAACGCCCAGCCTGCCCTATCGACACGTCTGGGGTGCGACACGGAGAGGTTGCTCATAAGGACAAGGGCTGGAGTCGAGTCGAGTCGTGCAGCGGGGCCAGGCCACAAACGAAGCAGCAAGGAGGGGATGACAAGAAGGCATGAATGGAAAATCTGCAGTCCGTGAACTCCAGGTGGTCCAAGACAGTCAGGCGCCGGTCAGCAAGCGATGGGATGCACCGGAGGCGAACTGACGCACAAAGCGACAAGGATAAAACAGAGGAAGAAAAACACTGATCTCTCGATTGAGCACCCCCCACGCCTAGGGGATCCACTACAGCATTGATCTACCCTACAATTGAAATATTGGTCGCATCTAAAAAAAAGTACGTAGAATGATCCGAAAATCAACTAACACTTCACACATTCTCTATAGATTCGACGGACCACACACAATTTTGAAGTAATGAAATCAATTATGTAGTCCATCCCCTACTCGATTCCTCGGGCGGACGCCTTCATAGATTACGGATCCGTGGACCTGTCGCGAAAATGGAATCAAGGCCGCCTTTATGCGACGAACCGCGTCGACTTTCTGCTTCGCCTCACCAGCAGCACCGACAGAATCTCCTGCCAGGCCTGAGCCGGACCGAATCGCGAGCCCGGATCGCATCGGAAACGGAGCGCACCGCCAGCGCATCGCCCAGGATCGAGATCGAGCTCGGATCGCCGCGCCCGGCTCGGGCTGGAGCTGGCCCGTGTTTGCCCCCCCTCCCACGCACAGGGGCAGTGCCCAAAGAAAAAGCATGTCGTCGGTGACGCTTCCTCGGCGCATCAGCACGCAGCGAAAATGACACGGAATTCGGCCCGCAGATGCGAGCGAATCGATCCGAACCGAATCGACTCGGACCCGCGGCCCCGGCCGGCGCACCGAGCCGCACCGAGTCGGACACCGCTGCCAGCCCTGCCCGGCTGGCCTTCTCTGGGAGCGGGCAGGGAGGCGCAGGCAGTTCCCCGCGCGCCCTCCGCGGCCCCGCCGCGTGCCACGGAGCGGCCGCGCTCCAGAGCCCAGGCCAGAGGGAGCGTCGGCAGCGCGCGTGTTGACGTGCTGATGGAAATGTAGAGTCGGGAACATGGGGCAGGAGGACGTCCTTCCGGAACATGGGACCCTCCGCCGGCCCAAGCTGAAGGACATTCAGAGGGTGCCCTCCCCCAGGATGCACAAGAACATCCAAGAAGCACGACGAACATGAGGGTACCCTCCCCGACCCTCGACTTTATACCTCGGTCCGACTGTAGCGAATAGAGCCCCACGCGCCGCCACGCTGGTCCTGGGCAGGCTGTGCTGCCCGGCGGAGGGGGAAGGGGAGGGGAGAAGCAGGCAGACGGCGACGCACGCGCAGGCGGGAGGCCAGGGCCGGCGGGGCGGGCGGCTTGACGTGCTGTGTTGGGCTCGGAAGAGAGGGGGAAGGAGAGGAGCACCGTGTGCCCTGAGGCGCGTCGGCGGGGCATGCGCTCAGGCGAGCAAGCAGGACTCGTCGATCTCGAGGAATGCGTGGGTGTCGTTGCTTGATCCCACTCTAACCGTAGGCCCCCGGTCTTCCCAACGCACACGTCGTTCCCTGGAGTCGGGGCTTTGGGGTAAAATACAAAATCCCGCAGCAGAGGACGGGGGGAAGGTTCGAGGCCAGGAGTTCGAGGGCCGAGGTCATCGGGCGATCTTCGCCCCTTCTGGGCATCTTTCCTTCTGGGCACCCTCTGGACATCCTGGGGGGCTTCTCCTCGCCACAGCTCGGCTCCTCTCGAACTCCTGCCCAGGGAATACCCCGTGACAGGTCCAAGAGGCGAGAGAGGGCGTGGGAAGAGGGGAGGATATGAAGGGGGTGATCACTAATGAGGAGGAGGAGGAGGAGGAGGAGGAGGAGGAGTCGAGTGGAGTTGAGTGGAGTGGAGTGGAGTGGAGTGGAGTCGAGTCGAGTCGAGTCGAGCGGAGTCGCGCCATGCAGCGGGTCTGGGCTCGAAGCGAAGCAGAGAGGAGGGGATGACGCGGGAGCAGTAAGGGAAACGCAGATCCTTCTGTTGGACCCACCCCCCCGGGGAGGGACGCACTGCTCCCTCCCTCCGCCCGCCACCCCCCCTTCTGGCCGCTTCGCTTCCGCTGCTCCCTCCACCCTTCCACACTGCCTCGGACACGGACGCCCATGGAGCTGCCGCGCGGGCGCCGCCAGGATCCGTGGCTCGTGGAGAAGCACCCCCCGAAAAACACGAAGCCAGGGCCGCCTGGTTATTTGTCGACGGTGCGCGCCGCTTTTGCGGGTGGCAACGGGCCCCTCACGGGGACTTGACTGGACAGGACAGCCGCGAGGGCACGAGACTCTTCCGACGGCAACGTTGCCCCAGATAGGGGAACGAACAGTGACATAAACATCATGACTCGGAGGTCCGCGCGGATTTCTCGGATCGGCGCTGGGGCCCCCTGTCGGCGCCTCTGGCGCCGCCCCTGGTGCGCTCTGCGCGCCAGGGAGGGGGGTACATGCGGGGTGCGTAGGTCGGGATCGAGGCACCAGAACACCACAGGACATGCGGGGTGCGGAGGTCGGGATCGACAGGACACGGGGCACCCTCGATTTGGCATGGTCGACCTACTAATCAGGGCCGACTGTCATCCATGTTTGCGTTTCCCCGTCTCCACCCTTCCGCACTGTCCCTCCCCTTCAGCCTTGCTCCGCCCTGCTCTCCCGCCCGCGACCTGGGCCTAGCAGCGGCGCCCAGACCCATCTGGGCCCTCGCTGGTCCGCACGGCATGTCGGCGTCGCCCTCTCCGCCACCCACCCCGCCACCTCCGCTCCTCCCTCCACCCTTCCGCTCCTCCCCCCGCCGCCTGCCCAGACCCCCGATGTCGCATTTGCGTTCGCAAAGCCGACCTCCAGAGATCTCGACCATCTCCCCAGGGCTGGCTTTTCATTCAGAGTCGTAGTTTTAACATTCCCAAGGCCCCGAGGGGGCCCTGGAAGGCCGAGAGTTGCCAAAAACTGTCCCTCCTGAATTGTGCACGACGCGAGGGGTGTGGGTCCGTTCTTCCCGTCGCCCTTCCGCACCGTCCTTGTCATTCGCTCCTGGCAAGTGGGACCAGCACCGAACAAAGCCAGGATGGATGGTTGCTATGCACCTGTCAATCCCACAGACCCCCTGCCAAAAAGTTACGCAAGAGCCCGGAACTGGGAGCTCGGGACCAAGAGACCAGGAGCCTGGGACTGGGAGACCAGCAGATTCCTCAGGACCCGGGTCCCGGATCCCAGTCCGGGTCCTGGGCAAGGTCCAATCCTTGGGTGCGTTTTCTTCTGGGCTCTTGACAGCGGGAAAGCAGCCGCGGCTCCAGCCGCTCGTGCTCCTACTGCTGCTTGTGCTGCTTGCCCTCCACCCGCCCCCTCAGCCCGCCAAGCCAGTCATCCCGCTCACAGGAAAACGGGTGGTCAAGGGTGGTCAAGGGCGGCCTCCCGGGAGGCTCCCGAGGGGGCCCCGGAGGCCCTGGGCCTCTGGCGTCAAGGCTCGGTCCCTCCGAGGCCGTCTCCAGACAGCGAGGAGGAGGAGGAGGAGGAGGAGGAGGAGGAGGAGGAGGGAAAAGGAGGAGGAGGATGGCCTCCAGTCACGTCCGAGGTCTGGCGTGGTCCCTCCATGCGCCGAGACGGCTGCCAGCCAACCTCTGGCCAAAAACAGCCGCCAGCCCACGACCACAGAGAATGACCTCAGGAGCGCCCCGGCTCGGCGCCCGAGGAGGACCAGTCCAAATATCCTCCTCCTCCTCCTCCTCCTCCTCCTCCTCCTCCTCCTCCTCCTCCTCCTCCTCCTCCTCCTCCTCCTCCTCCTCCTCTCCTCCTCCTCCTCCTCCTCCTCCTCCTCCTCCTCCTCCTCCTCTCCTCCTCCTCATCATCATCATCATCATCATCATCATCATCATCATCACATCATCATCATCATCATCATCATCATCATCATCATCATCATCATCATCATCATCATCATCATCATCATCATCATCATCATCATCGTCATCGTCATCATCATCATCAGCATCATCATCATCATCATCATCATCATCATCAGCATCTGCATCTTCATCATCATCATCATCATCATCATCATCATCATCATCATCATCATCATCATCGTCATCGTCATCGTCATCATCATCATCATCATCAGCATCATCATCATCATCAGCAGCAGCATCAGCATCATCATCATCATCATCATCAGCAGCATCATCATCATCGTCATCATAATCAGCATCATCATCATCATCCTCATCCTGATCCTCATCATCATCCTCATCCTCATCGTCATCATCATCATCATAATCAGCATCATCATCATCAGCAGCATCATCATCATCCTCATCATCCTCATAATCATCATCATAATCATCATCAGAATCATCATCATCATCGTCATCATCATCAGCAGCAGCATCATCAACATCATCATCATAATCAGCAGCATCATCATCATCGTCATCATCAGCATCATCAGCATCATCATCACCATCATCACCACCATCATCATGCTTCTCCTCCTCCTCCATTTCTTTCCCTTACAGAAAACTCCTCCCTGTCGAACCCCCGAACGTGTCAGTCGGGCGGGCTGGTCGTATCGCCTGAGACTTCCTCATCACAGATGACCTTGAAGCCTGATACTTGCAAGAGTTACACGGATGAAAGGGTTTTATTTCAAAATTGGGCTCTCGCCTCAGGCGCCGCGCACATTCGTTTATTGTACTGGAAAGGACGGTAGGGTGTTTGGCAGCATCGCTGATGCATCTTAGGTTTACTCTGGTCCTCCTCCTCCTCCCACTACTCCTCCTGCCGCGGATGGCCCCACCTCACCACATGATGCTGGGCGGCAAATGACTTCGTTGTCTGCCAGCCGACTCCATTTCATTCCCCTCTTGTGCAGACTGTGCCAGAGGGAATCTGAGACTCTCCCATGTCAGGGGCCGAACGGCTTCATACCCCGCTTGTCAAGGAAGAGAACACGGCATGAACACAAACTTTTGGAAGTCCGCGCGGATTTCTTGGATTTGCGCCGAGCCCTCCTCTCTGGCGCGCGGTGCGCGCCTAGGGCGGCGCCTGGAGGGTCGAGGCGACGACCCGAGAAATCCGCGCGGACCTCAGAAAATCCCACCAGCCCTCTGGGCGTAGGTGGTCTAGGGCGCTTCCTCTTCCAACCCCCTTCTTCCCCTTCGGGGAGGGGTTTATCAGTGTTCCCTATTAATATACACCCCCTCCCCCAGGCGACTGGCAGCCAACCAGGGACAATGCGGGCACCCCCCCACCATCCCTTTGTAAAAAAACATACAAACACACACTCTGCCTCCAAATTCGGAGCATGCGCAGCCAACCCGATGCGGCCTCCCCCCACCATCCCTGTCAAAAAAAACAGAGTACACTTGGCGGCGGCGGCGGCGGCGGCGGCTGCGGCGGCTGCGGCGGCGGCAGCGGCTGCGGCGGCTGCGGCGGTGGCGGTGGCGGCGGCGGCGGCGGCGGGGCGGGGCGGCGGCGGCGGCGGCGGCGGTGGCGGCGCCGGCGGCAGCGGTGGCGGCAGCGGCTGCGGCGGCAGCGGCTGCGCGGCGGCGATTCGGCAGCGGGGGCGACGGCGGCGGCGTCGGCGGCGGCGGCAGTGGCGGGCGGCGCGGCGGGGGCGGCGGCGGGCAGCGGCGGCGGCGGCGGCGCGGCGGCGGCGGCGGCGGGCGGCAGCGGCTGCGGCGGAGGCGTCGGCGGCGGCGGCGGATGCGCCCCCAGTAGCTGCCCATCCAAAGACAACTGCTGAATATGCTGAGGCTCGGGCCAGGCTCGGGTGCTACGTATGTGTTGGGAGGACGGGTGGGAGTGAGCGAGGCGGCTTGCGGGCGGGGAGGGAGTCTTGACCCCTCCCCCTGACCCCCCCTTGACCTGGACGGGGGTTGCCGCGACGCGTTGGAGCGGCGTCCAAGATGGCCCAAGATGGCCCCAAGAGCGCCTGAGAGAGCCCAAGACGACCTCCAAGATGGCTCAAGATAGCGCAAGAGGGCCCCAAGAGAGGCTCAGGAGAGCTCCAAGACGGCCTCAAGAGCGCCATAGGGCGCTCCAAGAGCACCCCAAGAGCGCCCCAAGAGGCGATTTTTGGGGCTCCCAAGGGGGTACGCTAAAAGTATCCCGGTAAAGCAACCTAACAGCGATGTGTAGGAGCATATCTGGAAGCATTCCCCTTAAGATTCAGATGAGAATCCAGTTGTAAAATTCTGCTGTTCTCGCAGTCGCAGTCGCATTCGCGATGACAGTCGCAGTGGCAACGGCAGTCGCAGTCACAGCCTCAGCCTCAGCCTGCCTCAGCATCAGCCTGCCTCAGCCTCAGCCTCAGCCTGCCTCAGCCTCAGCCTCAGCCTGCTTCAGCATCAGCCTCAGTCTGCCTTCAGCCTCGGCCTCAGCCTCAGCCTGCCTCAGCCTCAGCCTGCATCAGCCTCAGCCTCAGCCTCAGCCTGCCTCAGCATCAGCCTGCCTCAGCCTCAGCCTCAGCCTGCCTCAGCCTCAGCCTGCTTCAGCCTCAGCCTCAGTCTGCCTTCAGCCTCGGCCTCAGCCTCAGCTGCCTCAGCCTCAGCCTGCATCAGCCTCAGCCTCAGCCTCAGCCTGCCTCAGCATCAGCCTGCCTCAGCCTCAGCCTCAGCCTCAGCCTGCTTCAGCCACAGCCTCAGTCTGCCTTCAGCCTCGGCCTCAGCCTCAGCCTGCCTCAGCCTCAGCCTGCAGCAGCCTCATCAGCCTCAGCCTCAGCCTCAGCCTCAGCATCAGCCTGCCTCAGCCTCAGCCTCAGCCTGCCTCAGCCTCAGCCTCAGCCTGCTTCAGCCTCAGCCTCAGTCTGCCTTCAGCCTCGGCCTCAGCCTCAGCCTGCCTCGGAATGGAGTTTTGGGAACTCGAAGAACACGAAGTGGCCTACAGTTGGCTCCGAGCATTCAAAATCATGCCCAGGAATGGAGTTCTGGGAATTCGAAGACCATGAAGTGGCCTACAGTTGGCTCCGTGCATTCAAAATCATGCCCATGAATGGAATTCTGGGAACTCGAAGACCACGAAGTGGCCTACAGTTGGCTCCGAGCATTCAAAATCATGCCCAGGAATGGAGTTCTGGGAATTCGAAGACCACGAAGTGGCCTACAGTTGGCTCCACGCATTCAAAATCATGCCCAGGAATGGAGTTCTGGGACCTCGAAGACCACGAAGTGTGTAACTGTTTGCTTAAAACGACTTCTGCGGATTCTCCCCGGATCCTGCCCGGACCCCCCTGGGGAGTCAAGATGCTCTCTTTTGACACTACTAGAGACCTATCAGTCTTCGCTGTTAGGTAAAAACTGCCTTTTTTGTTGATCGATATCCTCCAAGATGGCCCCAAGAGCGCTCCCAAGGCTCCAAAGAGCGCCCAAGAGGGCCCCAAGAGGCGCCCAGGAGGCCCCAAGAAGCGTCCAAGAGGCCTCCAAGAGGCTCCCAAGAGACCCCCAAGCGGCCCCAAGAGGCTCCGTGAGGCACCCGAGACGCTCCAAGAGGCCCCCGGGACCACCAAGAGGCCCCCAAGAGGCAAGAGAGGCCCAAGAGAGCCCCAATACGGCCCCAAGAGCGCTCCAAGAGGGACCCTTCCTCTGCGTGCTGTCCACTTCCCTGATCGAGGCAATTCCTTTGGGCATCGTCTCTGGATGGGCTGGTGGGTTCCGCAAAGCGCCTAGAATTTATGCTTTTTGCAATTTTTCTCCTCCATGTTTGAAGCCGCGACTGTCGAGGCCTGGGGAAGCCCCTGGGAGCACCTGGGAAGCCCCTGCGAGCTTCCGGGGAGCCCTGGGAGCGCCTGAAGGGCCCCTAAAAGCTCCTGGGAGCTCCCTGGAAGCTCTGGGGGAGCTTCTGGCATCTCTAATCCCCGACTGCGGATCGGAGTCCTCGGTGTCGAGGAAGCCAAACACGTTGTCGATACTTTTGGCCATCAGGCTTCGGTTGTGGCCTCGGGGGGGGGGGGGCACGCGGAGGAGCGAAGATAAAGTGACAAAAACTGCACAAGCATAAACTTTCGGAACTCGGCACGGATTTCGTGGATCGGCGCGGGGCCCCCTAGCGGCCCCTCCAGCGCCACCCCTGGCGCGCTCCGCGCGCCTGGGAGGGGGACCTGGCGCGGATCCAAGAAAGCAAAGCGGAGATCCGAAAGTTTATGTTTGCTTTTTCTTATTCGCAGAGCAGGAGGAGGTATAATGGAAGCAGAAGGCCTCATTTGGGACATGACCGAGAAGCGAGTCTCAAGGAAGGAGGCGGACGCGGAGGGGGAAGATGAGGGGAAGGCACTCCTTTCACAACGCCTGCAGTTCGCGCTCGTCTGCGTCGAACGCGGCCACATCGGAAGACTCCGCCTGGACCTCGACGGTCTCTCGGCGCAGGCACTCTTCTAGCCTCCGCGACCAGACCGGGGCCGACGACGGGGCGAATGCGGATGCCGATATCGCCGAAGTCCGTCCCTCCTCTGGGCCTCCTGCGACCCCTGCTGCAGACGATGCCCGTTCCTCGGGAACGGCTTCGGGTGAGGCCTCCGGCGGGGGGGGGCGCCCTGGAAGTTTCCAGGGCCCCTCCAGAGGCCTCGGGAGGGCCGAGAAATGCGGAGGACTGCCCTCGAACCTCGAGGAAGCGGGAGGAGGCAGAAGGGCAAGAAGCGGGACGAGGCAGGCCAACGTCGCGGAGGAGGAGGAGAATCAGAGCAAACTGTGCATCCTCTGAGCGACCCCTATCCCCGCGGGCGTGGCCTGGGCCCCGCTGGCCGACGTCACCCCCTGGATGGGGACATAGGCTGTTCCCGTCGGGTTTCGAGTGGTACATCCCAAACTGGGGTGATGAGATGGCAGGGGTCTGCAGAGGGACGGGGGATGGGGATCGGGGTCGCTTGAACGATGCTGACAAGCGCAGAATGCCCCAACTACGCTGCAGCACACCCTCCCGTCCCGAGCCCCCTCCTCGCAAGCTTTTTGGCGCTCCACTGCAGGAGAGGCGCAGCCCCTTGGCATGGGAGCGCCCGGTGGGCCTGCCGTGCAGGCGATTCCCCTGCTTGCAGAAGTTGTCCACGCTCCGACCTCCTGGCTCCAGGATGTCAGGAGTGGAGAGCAAGGCACTCTCATCTAATTCGAGGAGATGGCCAGCGAGGCCACCGTCTTGAAAAGGGTGTGCCCTTCATTCGAGCAGGCGTGCCGAGTAAGCGTGCAATTCTGAGCAAGCGTGAGCCCCATGTAAAAACGAGCCGCCCTCTGTCCGTGAAAATGTTGCACAGAATTTGCCAGCGTGGCAGCTATTGCACTGTGAATGTGTCAGATATATGATGTCAGCTCTATGGTGTCAGCTATGTAGCGAAAGTCATGTGGGGTAGGCTACGTAGAGAGAGGAATGTGGTGTAAGCTATGTTGTGTAAGCTATGAGGCGCAATCAATGCGGTGCAGTCTATGTGATGTGAGCTATGCCCTGTAGGCTACGTGGTACAAGAATGACCGAGCGACCCAGTGGCCGAGCGACCGAGCGCTCGAGCGACCGGCGGCTACGACGACGACGAACGACGACGACGACGACGACGACGACCGAGCGAGCAAGCGAGCGAGCGAGCGACCGACCGACCGACTGGCCGACCGAGCGATCGACGACGACGACGACGACGACAACGACTGACAGACCGACCGACCGAGCGATCGACGACGACGACCGACCGACCGAGCGAGCGAGCGATCGACGACGACGACGACCGACCGACTGGCCGACCGAGCGATCGACGACGACGACGACGACGACGTCGACCGACGGCGATGACCGACAACAGACAACGACGACGGCAACGACCACCGATGGCGCAAGACCTGTGGCGCCCACGAGGCGCCCACGGCCGCCCACCAGGCGAAACATCGCCACCCCCGCCCAGCGCGCGGGACGCCCACGAGGCGCCCACGGCCACCCAGCAGGCGAAGCCTCGTCACACACGCCCAGCGCACGCGGCGGCCACGCGGCGGCTGCGGCCGCCCACCAGGCAAAACCTCGCCACCCCCATCTAATCCCACCGGCCCTCTGGGCGTAGGTGGTGTCGGGCGGCTCCTCTTCCAACCCCCGTCTTCCCCTTCGGGGAGAGGCTTATCACTGTTCCCTATTAATATACACCCCATCCCCCAGGCGACCGGGGGCCAACCCGAAACCATGCCGACACCATGCCGACCCGCGCCCCACCATCCCTGTCAAAAAAAATACATACCGCACTCTGACTCCAAAAGTGGAGCATGCGCGGCCAACCCGATGCGGCCCCCCAAACCATCCCTGTCAAAAAACAATGCAAAGTACAATTTGGGGCAAAGTCTCGAGTCATGTTCGTGAGTTATTTTTACAAAAATTACGGCGGGGGTGTCAGCATATTCCCTGCTGTGCGCAGGGCTACGATCCCTGATAAAAAACTATGCAACATGCACCTCGCGGCTAAATCTGGATCATGCGCAGCCATCCCGCGATCACTGTCAAATGGTTTTTGACAGGGACGGCGGGGGCGGCGGCGCGTGGCCTGCTGTGCGCAGGCCCACCAGGCACAATGTTGGGCATCGGTTTTCGACAAGGATGGCGGGGGTCGGCATGTTTCCCGATGTGTGCTGTCACGTGCGCATGCGCACCTGACGCACTCTGCACATGCCCCGAACGCGTCGCACCTGGCGCGGCTGGAGTGCGCAGCACACCTGGCGCACTCGGGTGGCGCATCTGGCGCCCCAGGCGTGCCTGGCACGCTCGGGCCCCAGGGGTGCCTGGCGCGCGTGGCGCCCCTGGCACGCGTGGCGCACCTCGCCCAAGCGTCGCGCACCTGGGGTCGGCTTCGGTTCTCAGGAGCTGTCCAGAGACGACCGCTGAACATGCTCAGGCTCGGGTGTTACTTATGTGTAGGGAGGGCGGGTGGAAGTGAGCTAGACGGCTTGCGGGCGGGTGGGTGGCTTGACCCCTCCCGCTACCCCCTCCCCTGGACCTGGACGGGCGGTGCCGCGACCCATTGGAGCGTCCAAAACGGACTCGGCGAGGAAGCCAAAATCATTGGTTTTACTATGGTGGTGGCCCCATGTTGGCCTGTTGGGGGGGGCAGCGCTGAAAGAAGCTCCCCTCTTCTTTGATCGATGTCCTCCAAGATGGCCCCAAGAAACGCCCAGGAGGCCCCAAGAGGCCCCTAGATGGCCCCAGAATGGCCCCAAGAGGCCTCCAAGAGGCCCACAGGAGGCCCCCAAGAGGACCCCAAGAGACCCCAAGAGGCCCCGCCCAAGAGCCCCCAGGACCGCCAAGATACCCCCAAGACGTCCCAAGAGACCACCAAGAAGCGCCCAAGAGATATCCCAAGAGGCTCTGAGGGGCATCCAAGAGACCTCTGGCCCGCTTGCTGACCCTCCTCTTCCTGCTCCTCCTTCCTCTTCCTACTCCTTCTCTTATTCCTCCTCCTCCTCCTCCTCATCATCATCATCATCATCATCATCATCGACATCACCATCACCATCATCATCATCATCATCATCATCATCATCATCACCACCACCACCACCACCACCACCACCAACTCCACCATCATCATAATCGTCCTCATCATCACCATCATCATCATCATCATCACCACCACCACCATCCTCATCATCATCACCACCACCACAACCTCCACCATCATCATCATCATCATCATCATCCTCATCATCATCAACAACATCATCATCATCATCACCACCACCACCACCACCATCATCATCATCATCATCATCATCATCCTTCTCCCCACTCCCTCATCCATCCACCCAGCCTCCTCCTTCTCCTCATCCCTCCTTCGCACGGTTCGGCCGTCCCCCTCTTTGATCCCGTGCTTCCCTGATCACCTCAACTCGCCTGGACATCGTTTCTGAATGGGCTGGTGGGGATGCACGAAACGTCTAGAAATCCGCCGATCCGGCGTGTGAGTTTCAAGGAGTCTCAGCTACAGCCTCGAGGCTGAGCCTCAGCCTCTGGGGGGGTTGCCGGGGTGGCTCTGCCGGGGAAGGGGGGATGGGGGTGGGGGGGGGGCGAGTTTCCGGCGGATGCGGGGCGCTGCTTTTACAGAAGGCTCTAATCTCGAGGATGCGCTGGAAGGGTGGCCGCGGCCGCAAAAGTCTCCGAGGACGGTCTAAGAAAGTCCCGAGACCCCGAAGGATCGCCCGAACACGCCCAAGATGGCCCCAAGACGGCCCAAGAGCCTTCCAAGACGTCTGAAGAGGCCTCCAAGAGGCCTCCCACGATGGCCCCCAGAGGCAAAAATCGTTGATTCCCATTGGTTTTTTCAATGTTTTTGGGGTTGTCGCTTTTTTCGGCTTTCCGACGCTCCAAGACGGCCCAAGAGGCCCCCAAGACCGCTCGAAGACGGCCCAGGAGGCCCCCAGACAGTCCCAAGACGGCCCAAGAGGGCCCCAAGGCGGCCCAAGAGCCGCCCAAGACGGCCCAACAGGCCCCCAAGACGGCCCCAAGAGGACCCAAAAGAGGGACGAAAAGCGGAAAAAATCTAGCCTTCCAGCCCACGAGGCCCCCAGGAGGCCCCAAGAGCCTCCAAGAGGGCCTCCGAAAGCCCCCAAGAAGCCCCCACGACGCCCTGACAGGCTCCTAAGATGGCTCAAAAAACGCCCCAAGAGGGCGTCCTTGCGCCGATAGGCTCGCCTCCACCGCTCGCACCACATCGTCCAGGCCACATGTTTCGTAACAAGACTCCGTGCAAGACGTATCGTGAGTTTCCAAAGTGATCGGCATCCTGTATGGAATTTTCATGCCATTCTTATTTCCCGTCCCCACGGTCACTGCAAGCACCCCGCCGTTGATAGAACCACTGCTGCGAGATGGCTCTATTGACCCAACTGCATTCCTACACGCCCTTTCGAAGGTAACCCGAGAAGTTTGTGCGTTTGAGTGTGCGCCCATAATGTCTGCGTCTGGAGAATAACACCGAGCGACCCGGATCGGCGGCACTGGCCGAAGGCCACTACAATACTTGTTTACCTCAATAAGAAGACCCATATGCAAGCACTAGAATTCTGAGGTTTGATAAAAAAATGATTGGCAGCATGCACTCTGAGCAGAAACAGTGATTGATTGCACTACGGATGTGTAAGCTGTGTGGAGCGGGCTATTTGATGTAACATGCTGTTGCAGCTATGTGGCTTTAAAGTTGTGTAAGCTGTGGTGGAATAGTTGTGGTGCAATATATGTGGTGTGAGCGATGCGGTGCAAGCTACGTGGTGCAAGCTGCGTGAAGTGAGCGATGTGGCGCAAGCGATGTTGCGCCTACGGCTGCCCACCAGGCGAAAAAATCTCCCCACTTCCGCCCAGAGAACGGGGCGCCCACGAGGCGCCCACGGCCGCCCACCAGGTGATACCGCAGTAAGGACAGTGCACTCACTGTTTCGCAAATCATGATTTCCTGAGACAAGTTCGACAAAGTCTCAAGCCAGAGCCCCCGATTTGAAACGGATCCGCCTTCCATCAGTATAACTGCTGGGATGTGCGAAGACGAGTGTACGCAACGTCAGGGCAAGAACCCCATGTAGAAAACAAACCGCTCGCCATCCGTGTAGCTGTTAGACCCTTGAAAACGAGAGTGCGAGATTCTTTGGCGAGAGCCTCATTTCCCCAATTACGCGATGCCTCAGGCACCTGTGCTTGTAAAAGAAACTGGTGGGCCTGGCCGGCGTTGCCTGGGGTTCCTCGGGAGTCCTCGGCGTTGATTGGCCACGATAGGCAACGCCAAGCAGTGCCAAGCAATGCCGAGCAATGCTAAGCAATGCCAGGCAATGCCAAGCAAGGCCAAGCAAGGCCAAGCAATGCCAAGCAATGCCAAGCAACGCCACGCAATGCCAAACAATGCCAAACAATGCCAAACCATCCCAAGCAATGCCAAGCAACGCCAAGCAGCACAAAGCAATGCCAAAAAGCAAAGCAATACCAAGCAATGCCAAGCAATGCCAAAAAACGCCAGGCGATACCAAGCAACGCCAGGCAATGCCAAGAAATATCAAGCAACGATCCCAAGCAATGACAAGCAATGCCAAGCAATACCAAACAATGCAAAACAATGGCAAGCGATTTCAAGCAATGCCAAGCCATGCGTTGCATGAAAGTTCTTTGCATTGTTCAGAACTACTTCAATTGTTTTGGCGATAAACCAAGCCCTCATTTTGGACTCGCTCTGCGAAATTTGAAAACCATTTGTGCTCTATCCTTCTACCTGTACGAGTTGCGAGAATGCGCGGACCAACGCGAGAGCCCCGTGTTGAAAACCACCTGCGCTGCGCAGGTGTAACTGATAGGTAGTTCCCCGCAAGGAAGTCTCAGAAGACACACCCCGCGCGCCCAAGCGACACGTCTGGTGGCGAGACAGGCAGGAGTTGTTTAGAAGGACGAAAGACGAAGGACGACGACGAGGACGGGAGGACAGCGGGCAGCCACCGAGTGACGGCCAGCCACGCCCGTCGCCCACACGTCCACCATCCGTCCGACTGCCGTGACCCTGGCAGCAGAGGGTCACGCACGCGTCCACCACGCGTTCACCTTACGATCCGCCCTCCCGCGCGCGTCCGCCGCACGCCTGGCCAACCGCGCTCTTTCAACGGGCGCGGCCGACGCCCGTGGGGCACACGCAGGCGGAGGACTGTCGGCCAAGGCCAGCCTGGCGGCGGCGGCAAGGTAGGAGGACGTAAACTATACACCTGCCTGGAAGGCATAAACACCGATCCCGGGCCCAGGATCGGCCTGGCCAGGATCGGTGTAGGTTTTTAGATTGCGTCCTCCGAAAGGGAAAAGGCTAAGTGCAAGCGCTGCTTGCAGAAAAAAACAAAACAAGCACCACCCACCCATCGCACGAGGCGGCAATGGGCAGCCACGTGGCGAAACCTCGCCAGGCAAACCCAGTGCACGAGGCGGCCGCGAGGCGCCAACGGGTGGCAGCGTGGCAGAACCTCGCACCCAGCGCAAGACGCGGCCACGAGGAGGCAACGGGCGGCAACGTGGCGAAGCCTCGCTGGACCCACCCAGTGCACGAAGAGGCCGCGAAGCAGCCACGGGCGGCGACATTGAAAATCCTCGCTGGACCCGTCCAAATCCTTAGCGACACAAGTAGAAGCCCTGAAGTGCAAGCACTGTTTGAGGAATAAACACAGACAGCACAAGCACTGTTTGGGGGAGATAGATATGTGTACATATATATATATATATATATATATATATATATATATATATGCGCATCACAGATTTATTGATGAAGCAGCATGGCCCGAGCCATGTGCGGGACGAGGAGGGGCAGGGAACGTAATGAGGACAAGGAGGCCATGAGATCTGGGAGGGCCTAGACACCCTATTGTCCTCACCCCCCTTTGGGACGCCCCCGACACGACGATGAGCGGGAGGAGAAGCAGGACAGGGAGGCGCGGCAGCACCGCAGGCAGGCATGCAGCAGCAGGGCAGCCCAGCTTGGACACACGCGCCTCTGAAGAACGGGTTCGGCCACTCTGGCTGAGGGTCGTCGTCGATGCCGGGGGCCTTCTTCGCCCCGACGCCCGGAACGAGGCCCTCCTGGCAGACCCTCCCTGCAGCAGGCAGCCTCCATCGCTGCCCGCTCATCCTCCCCCGAATGTCCATCCCTCCTCCTGCCCCCCTCCTCCCTGGAGCAAGGGAAAAACGGCACTACCACCACCACCGTGGTCAAGAGGCTTATGAGCGGCGAGCATCTCCATACGAACGCCCTCGCGGTCTGGAGTCCAGTGCGCGATCCCATGGATACGCGGTCGCTCCCCTCGCTCTCCCCCTCCCCTCCCCCTCCCCCTCCCCTCCCCCTCCCCTCGCTCCCCCCCATCGCCTCTCCCTGCCCCTCCCCTCGCCTTCTGCCTCCCCATCCTCCTCCCCATCCTCCTCCCCGTCGTCCTTCCCCTCCTCCCCCCACCCTGCCCCTCTCTTCGCCCACCCCCTCCTCCTCCCCCTCCCGTCCCCCTCCCCCTCGCCTCGCTCTCCTTCGTCGCCTCACCCTGCCCCTCCCCCTTCTGGAGGAACAGAAAGAACATTAACATAAACTTTCGGAGGTCCAAGAGTTTATGTATACGCATGTTTGTTCTCATTCGACTCTGCCCCATCCCCCATTCTGAGATCCGACGTAGCCAAAAGAATGCAACCTCGTGCACAATCACGACTGAAGACTCAGACCCCATTTTCCTGTTACATTCGTCAAGCCGGATCGATCTATGAGGGTCGAAGAGCCCGAAACAGGGCGAACACGCCCAGCTCGAGAAAATTGAGACGCTAGAATATCAAGGCCCCCCTCTTCGGTGGCAACTCATGGGAGCCTCCCATACCTTCTTGTCGGCTCTTACGAATCGACGCTAATCGACGCTAAATCGACGCTAATCGACACTAAATCGACGCTAACCGACGCTAACCGACGCTAAATCGGCGCTATCTCATCGACTCCCAGACGCTGATCGACGCTAATCGACGCTGAAGACAAAATTACGAGAGTACACAAGGCTCCCATAATTTGCTACCGAACCCCTCCTCCCTCCCCCACCCCTCGCCCTTCAACCTCCCACCGCCCTCGCCGCGAGGCGGCGCCTCGGCAAAAGGCACTCCCGCACCGACCCCCCCGCCCGCCGGCACTGGCAAGAAGAAGGCGGACGCGCGGCTGCTTGAGGAGAGGCCTCTCGGGGGGGGGGCCAGCGAGCGGGGGAGGAAGAGACAAGGAAGAGACGAGGAGGAGGAGGAGGCGGAGGCGAAGGCAGAAGAAGGCGGAAGAGGAGGAGGACGAGGCGGAGGGCGGAGGAGGAGGAGGAGGCGGAGGCGAAGGCAGAAGAAGGCGGAAGAGGAGGAGGACGGGGCGGAGGGCGGAGGAGAAGGAGGAGGCGGAGGCGAAGGCAGAAGAAGGCGGAAGAGGAGGAGGACGGGGCGGAGGGCGGAGGAGAAGGAGGAGGCGGAGGCGAGGCGAAGGAAGAAGGACGGGGCGGAGGGCGGAGGAGGATGAGGAGGAGGAGGAGGAGAGAAGGACAAGGAAGAGGAGGAGGAGGAGCAGCAGGAGAACGAGGAGGAGCAGGGGGAGGAGGAGGCGGAGGCAAAGGCGGAAGAGGGCGAAGGAGTAGGACGAGGCGGAGGGCGGAGGAGGAGCAGGAGAGGAGGAGAAGGACAAGGAAGAGGAGGAGCAGCAGGAGGACGAGAAGGAGGAGGCGGAGAAGGAAGGAGGAGGAGGAGGACGTGGAGGCGAAGGGAGGAGGGAGGAGGGAGTAGGAACGAAGGAAAAGGGAGAAGAATGAGGAGGAGGAGGAGGAGGAGGAGGAGGAGGGAGGGAAGGAGGGACGAGGAGAGAGAGGGTAGAAAGCAGAATGAGAAAGAGGAGGAGGGGAGGAGGAGGGCGAGGAGGAGGGGGAGGAGGAGGAGGAGGAGGAGGAGGAAGAGGAGGAGGAGGAGGAGGAAGAGGCGGAGGAGGAGGAGGAGGAGGAGGAAGGAGGGAGGAGGAGGAGGAGGAGGAAGGAGGAAGGACGGAGGGAGGAGGAGAGAAGAGGAGAGAGGAGGAGGAGGCACGGCTGATGGACAAAATCCTGCACCACCCGCGCGACCAGGGTGCCAGCGCAAATTCGAGGCGCCCCCTTTACCCCGAATTCAACGTTGGTTGGCATCGCCAGCGGGGCGCAGGATTTCGGCCAATCGATAGATCGACACATCGCGGTGCAGCCCGCCAATATTACATTGGGGGCGCGAGGGTTGTTCACAAAAACTGGCACGAAAGGCGCAGAATTTCGCAAGCCCCCTGAGCGTGAGGTTTTAAGGAGTTTCCTCTTCCACCGCCCATCTTTTCAAATTCAGGGGTGGTTTACCCCGCACCATGCGTGCCTGGCACTATTGGGCCCCAGGGGCGCCTGGCGCGCTCGGTGCGCATGGCGCGCCCAGCACGCGACGGGCATCTGGCCCCAGAGTCGCGCACCTGGGGTCTGTTTTGGATCCCAATAGCTGCCCACTTAAAGACGGCCGCTGAGCATGCTGAGACGCGGGTGCGACTCATGTGTTGGGAGGGCGGGTGCGGGTAAGCGAGACAGGTTGCATGTGGGGAAGGTGTCTTCACCCCACCCGTACCCCCATCCCCTGGTCTTCGACGGGGGGGGCCTGAGCGGTTACAGCGTCAAAGATGGTTTCGGTGAGAAGGCAAAAGCCATAAACGTGCCCAAGGTATTGTCCCAACTTTGGTTTTCTGCGGGGGAGCTTGATCAAGCACCTTCCCTTCTCTGATCGACCTCCTATGGACTCCAAGGCCCCAAGAGGCTCCCAAGAGGTCACCAACAGGCTCCAAAGAGACCCCCAAGAGGCCCCAAGAGGCTTCTCCGAGTCACCCAAGAGGCGCCAGGGGCCGCCAAGAGGCTCCTTCGACGCCACAAGAGTAGTACTCCAATAAGCTCTCAAGAGACATTCGAGAAGACTCCGAGAGGCATCCAAGACGCCTGACTTTTTCGTTCCTCATCCTCCTCCTCTCATCTTTCTTCATCTTAACATGTTTGTTGCTATGAGCATTATTAGTCGCAGTATTGCTTATTACGCTTATTGCTGACATTATTAGCCTATTAATGGTGTTACTACTACTCGTCGTATTGCTCGGAATAGTCCTCCTGTTCGTCTTAGTGACACTCCGATTAGTATTATCACGATGCCGCCTGCGTATTTCCGTTATCCTGCATATCATCAGTATTACGAATAATCTTAACACTCATATTAGCATTATCAGTGGTGTGTGTGTTCCTTTTATCGTTAGTATTGTCCGTGGGCTGAGTATACTGATGTTTAATAGTGTTGTTCTTGTTCACAGTGATTGTAATGATAATGTTGTTGATACTGTTATTCAAATCGGCATTTGGAGTATTTAAGACATCCGCAATCTATGTATCATCATTCGTGACAAAAAGTGTTTGTTATCATCCATGTTATCTAGCTTTACTGTTGGTAGACGATTACTCTTCTTGTTCGTATTACTCGTAGTGTTCGCACTGAGCTCCTTGATATAAGTATTATAAATATCCGTAGGATTATGTGAATCCCCATGTTACGCACTACTGGGATGCATCGTAGTCTTAATGTCATTCTCATACGATTAGCTTCAAACTGAGCAGTAGTATCCCTGTGAATCATATTCCTCTTCGTATTAATGTGTTGTGGTTTCTTCGTCCTCCTCAAATTCGACCTCCTCCTCCTTATCCTCCACCTCCTCCTCCTCCGCTTCCTCCTCCTCTTCCTGCTCCTGCCCCTGTCTGCTCCTCCTCCTCCTCCTCCTCCTCCTCCTCCTCCTCCTCCTTATCATCGTTATCATCATCAGTATCATCGTCATCATCAACAACATCAGCATCATCATCACCATCAGCATCATGATCAGCAGCAGCATCAGCATCAGCATCAGCAGTCTCACCATCATCAGCATCATTATCATCATCATCCCAATTCTCATCATCAGCAGCAGCAGCATTATCATCATCATCAACATCACCATCATCATCATCATCATCATCATCATCATCACCATCGTCAGCATCATCACCATCATCAGAATCATCATCATCATCATCATCATCATCATCATCATCAACAGCATCAGCCATCACCATCAGCAACATCATCATCAAAATCAGCATCGTTCTCATCATCAGCAGCATCAGCACCATCATTATCCACATCATCATTTCCATCATCGACATAGTCAACATAGTCAACACCGTCAGCATCATCAAAGCACAGGTATCATCATTAGCACCATCATCAGCATCTTGATCATCATCAGCCTCATATTATCCATCAGCATCAACATAGTCAGCATCATCGTCATCAGCATCATCAGCATCCTCATCAATCATCATCATCATCATCATCATCATCATCATCATCATCAGCCTCATCATCATCATCACCAGTAGAAGCATCATCATCATCATACTCGCCAGCATCAGTATCACCGTCATCATTGTCAGCATCAACAGCATCAAAGGTACCGTCAACATCATCATCATCATCATCATCATCAGCATCATCATCATCAAAATAGTCATCAATGTCATCAGAATCGCCATCATCGTCAGTACCATCAACAGAATCAGCATCGTAATCAGTCGCATCATCATCATCATGACCATCATCATCAGCATCAACAACATCATCAGCTTCAACATAATGATCATCAGCATGATCAAAAACAGCATCAGCATCATCATCATCATCATCATCATCATCAGCAGCAGCAGCAGCATCATCGGCATCATCATCAGCCTCCTCGTCCTCCTCCGCCTCCTCCATCTCCTTCCCCCCCTCCTCCTCCTCCTGCTCCGCCTCCTCATCCGCCGTCTCCTCCGCCTACTCAGCCTCCTCCGCAAACTCCTCCTCTGCAGTTCCCTCATCCTCCTCTTCCTCATCCTCCACCCCCTCTTCCTCCTCCTACTCGTCCTTATCCACCTCTCCTCCACCTGCTCTTCCTCCTACTCCTGCTCCTCCGCCTCCACCTCCTCTCCGTCTTCCTCCTTCTCCACATCCTCTTCCTCCTCCTCCTCCTCCTCCTCCCCTCATCCTCCTCCTCCTCCTCCTCTCCTCCTCCTCCTCCTCCTCCGCCTCCTCCTCCTCCTCCTCATCGAACCTCCTCCGCCTCCTCTCCCCCTCCTCCTCCTCCTCCTCCTCCTCCCTCCTCCTGCCTGCTCCTCCTCCTCCTCCTCCTCATCCTGCCTCCTCCTCACTTCCTACTCCTCCTCATCCTCCACCCCTCCTCCTCCTCCTCCTCCTCCTCCTCCTCCGCCTCCCCTCCTCCTCTTCCTTCCTCCGCCTCCGCCTCCACCACCTCCTCCTCCCTCCTCCTCCTCCTCCTCCTCCTCCTCATCACAATCATCATCATCATCATCATCAGCATCATCATCAGCATCATCATCAGCATCAGCATCAGCATCAGCACCATCATCATCATCATCATCATACATCATCATCATCCTCATCCCATCATCCTCATCATCCTCATCATCATCATCATCATCATCATCATCATCATCATCATCATCATCATCATCATCATCATCATCATCATCATCAATCATCATCATCATCATCATCATCATCATGCATCATCAGCATCCGCTTCAGCATCAGCATCAGCAGCATCAGCATCAGCATCAGCAGCATCATCATCATCATCATCATCATCATCATCATCATCATCATCAAGCATCATCATCATCATCATCATCATCATCATCATCATCATCATCATCATCATCAGTCGCATCATCATCATCATCATCATCACAGCATCATCATCTCATCATCATCAGCATCATCAGCATCATCCATCATCAGTTCATCATCATCATCAGCATCATCATCAGTCATCATCATCATCATCATCATCATCATCATCATCATCATCATCATCATCGCATCATCATCATCATCAGCATCATCATCATCAGCATCATCAGCATCAGCATCATCGGCATCATCGTCAGCATCATCATCAGCAGCATCAGCATCATCATCATCATCATCATCAGCAGCATCAGCATCAGCATCAGCATCATCATCATCAGCAGCATCATCAGCATCATAATCATCGTCGTCATCATCATCATCATCAGCATCCTCATCATCATCATCAGCATCATCATCAACACCAACATCATCATCAGCATCATCATCA